GAAGATCCAATCATGTTGTTACTTTATTTAGACTCTGAGACAACTCTACAGTTGGTTTTACTTATTTTTCCCTCACTGTGATTTGAATAAACTGTTTTAAGTGTTTTCCTCATCATTTTATTAAAAATTTGGTGTGATTATATTAATCCAACCAGAAAAGGCTTAAGGGAATCCTTAAAGAGACAGGAGCTCAAACTGAAAGTTGCTCAAAAATATGATCAACAAACCCGTGACCTGAGGGTGTGTTTCAACTATAGGGGGATCACACTCCTCAGCCTCCCTGGAAAGGTCTTTCTGCAAAGATGCATTAAAGCCTTGCACTAAATGTACTGTTTTCACAAAGAACAATGTGAAAACTACTATAACCATAAATTGCCATTCAAACCGGGGGGAAATAATCAACAGATATGTAATATTCCATAACATATTTTATCCAAGTGCTGCAGAGGAGAAAAGGCTGCAGCCAACAGTCTATATTCTTGCTGTCGGACCATTTTCACCACAGCCTTTTGGTTTCAGACACAAGGCAATATAGAGCCGTCTGGGCTGTAAACCACTGAGCTAATCTTAGTTGTGACTTCAGTCTGCCTCCCCTGGAGTTTCATTCTCAGGATGCCACAGAAAGGCAGAGTTGGGGAGGGGATGCGAGGAGCAAGTCAGGGTTTCCTTTTCCTCAGTCTGCAAAACATCAGACGAATCAGAAGGAAAGTCCAAATAAAAACTCATTTAATAACCCAAAAAGAGATGGGAAAAGTAAACAACTTAGGAATTTAAATGTTGTTTTTTTTCACACTGATTTTAGGTCTGGGTTAACCAACTGAGCGGTTCGTTTCCTGCCATGTCCGGCTCACTGCCTTCAGTCCTCAGCTTTAATTAAAGTTTAACAAACGCATTGATTGGCTTTGAACTCCTGACCCCTTGGCCGCTTCGCTTCCCAACTGCCAAAACAGGCAGAAAAACACCGGCGCCTGAAACCACAAAATGTACATCTGTGTACCTTTCAGCCACAGCAGGAACATTTCAACACAATGATTCAATCAGAAGGCCATTTTTAAAAGGAGGCTGTGGCAGTAAAAAGGAGGAGATCCGCTGAAAAGAAAGGTTTCTCACACAAAAGAGCGTGCAGTAATGTGTGTGTGAGCCCACATGGATAGTAGCATGACTGGATGCAAACAATCCCTCACCATGGCAACCCAGCTCTGGCTTTGTCTGGGCTTTATACACAGCTGACTAGGCTGCCTGGAGGGCGCAGATTTGAAGAAAAGACCCAAACAGTCTACAACAATTAAGAAGCAACTTCTTCTTTTGTTTCTTTTTAAATATAGAGGTGTGTACTGCAACTGGGCTTCTTAAGAGTTTATTATGCACATTTTTCTCTTTTTAAAATGTATATCCCCCTACCTAAATCAGTGTCTGTTCTCAGAATTTCACACTGGTGGAAACGGCCAAGTAGTCCAAGACAGGCTGCGAAACTGGCTGGGAAATCACTAATCCTGCTTGCAGGTACTCACTCGCCTTTAAGACCTTCATGTCGGATAAGATAAGCTGTTCGGAGTCTGTATAAATACAGCAGTTTCATAACCTGAGCAGATGTAAATCTAAAAAAAATCATAATCCTGGGTGATTTTATGGGATCCTTTTAATTTCCAGGTATTATATTGAATTTTTGCTAATTATTAGATTTTAAAAATACAGTTTTCCCTTTTTCCCCACAAGTTTGTTGCCTTGTTTTAAAATTTAGGGCCAAGTTTGAATTTAAGAAACATTCTAATTAAAGGTGCAGTGTGTAAGAATAAAGTAAGACGACGTGGTCAAATCTGGTTACTGCAATAACTCTCACTCTTGTTGCGTGAGTTTAATGGCTGTTACGGATCAGCACCAGAAGATTCTAGATAACAAGCAAAGACGAGTCATACACAGTAAGTTGCTAAGTAGATAAATACATTGTCATGGATGGTACTACTACTCTTTTGTGTTTTTGTGGTAGGGAGCACTTATTACACTTGTTACGGTAACATGCCTCCAGCATAGAGAATGAGTTGTTTTTACCGTCTGGCTGATAGCTTGCTATTATTGCTCTGAACCATGGACGTAATTTTGGAGGGGGACAGGGGGGACATGTCCACTCCCCCCCCCCCCCCACACACACACACACACTTTTTCCAAAGTCAAGTTTTGACCTCTGCACTTTTTACCATCCAAAAACAATATTACACTATATTAAATTGACACTGGTTGAGCTCTAGGACCAAGTGGAAAACAACCATTTGTGTTGAAGCCTGTTTCCCATTAGAGCATATTGTAAAGATACCCCCCCCCCCACACACACTCACACACACACTCCCTGTGTCCCCCCCACTTCTAAAGCGAAAATGACGTCCATGCTCTGAACGACTCATTAAAGAAAGAAAAACGCCACGTTTGACTCGTTTTTCACTTCACACATGCATTTCACTGTAATATCAATCAATCAAAGATACTTTATTAATCCCAGAGGGAAATTAGAGTTTCAGTACACACAATTCAAAGAATTGGTGACTGTGGTCATTCGCAACCCTGTGTCGTGCTACCTTTACGTTTCCTGCCATGTCCGGCTCACTGCCTTCAGTCCTCGAGCTTTAATTAAAGTTTAACAAACGCATTGATTGGCTTTGAACTCCTGACCCCTTGGCCGCTTTGCTTCCCAACTGCCAAAACAGACACACAAGTAACTGATAAAGTAGATTGAGATGTTTTTATAGCTGACTGTTTGTTTCTAATTCACAGTTAGCATTGTTAGCTCAGTGTTAGCCTCTCTTTACCCGATATTTGAGTAAAGCAAAAATATGCCGTGGCTTCTTAGGGGTACAAGAAATAACGTTGGGTTGCTCGTTACTGACTTCAGTTCTTTAAACACCGATGCAGCTTTTTGCTGCATGTTGTAGTCAAATTACAAATGCCAGCACTGCAGCGTTAGCTCGCAGGTGACACAACAACCTCAAACGTGGTAAACAGTAGCTACGTCCCTCCATCTTTTATTTTGAAAGGAGAAACGCTGACAACCTATGCGGCTGGCTGAGAATAAAATATGTTTCAGTATAACCTTCCTTTAAACATGATTTGAGACATTAGGCTGTTTTGGGACTATTTCACTGTAGAAATCTTACTTTATTCCTACACACTGCACCTTTAATCTTTCTGACTTGGAATATGTACATTTCAGCTTCTGAGTACAAATTGTGATTTATATCTTATGTAGTACATTCAAATTGTATGGAACCGAAGGTGCAAGACGCTCAGTCCAAACCATGGTGACGTTAGAAGTAAAGTTAGCAAACAGAAGTTTAATGGGGTGATTCTTTTGGGAAATGTGGCTTTTGTGTTCCTGAGATGATGCGTGGTGACTGACCCTGTCACGTGACGTTGGGGGCCGCGCTGTTATCACAGAGCTAAAATAGCAACAGGAAACGCTGATGTCAGCAGGTGTTTCAAATACGAGCAAAATGAAATTAGATTTGGACCCTTGTCCTGCGACAAGATGTCACTTTCCTTAATGGAGTGTCCTGCAGACTCCGTGACCTCCACTTCTACAGCAACACTCCTGACTTTGTGCCTCAGAGTTGGCACGCTGCCTTCTTTTACAGTAATTTCCCCCTTACCCCCCTCTTCACCATGTCTACTGCAATCTTTAAATTGCCTCTTTCAGTGAAGGCTCTTTCTCCTTTTGGCTCCAATTTTCCTAAACACTGTCATCAGTCGAAGACAATGATGTGGCTGCAGGTTTAGAAACGGCTTGAATAAGCAAAGCAAAAGACTTAAGGAAGTAATCAGTCTGGAAATCTCTGCCATCAGGTGCTGTCAGTCATCTACTCTGCTAAACACAATGTATAATCACTGTACATGCAAGAGGTGTGCAGCATTCGATGAGCACTTAGGGGGAAAATCTTCTATCACCAGAGAAGTTTTTGGGTGCAATTTCCTTTAAAATATTAATTAGAATTAAAGTCTCATTAGTTTTCCCCACTGATGCACTCAGTGCAATATGGCAGCAATGAAAGCAAAATCCGGCCATCTCAAAAGTTAAGACTAATCAGATTGGAGACAATAAGCTTGTAAGTCTGGAGGCTTAGCTGACCATGTGGTGGTGCTGGGAGGAGGAGGGGTGTGTGGAAAGATAAGAAACTGGACTAAGACTGTTAGTTTTCCACTAGAGCAACACAAGCTGATCTAGGAGGGCAATGTAGACACAGACCGATCCAGATGTGGTCCAATTTGTTTTATGGCTGCAAAATGAAAAACTTTAGGTCCTCTCTTTATACAGTGTATTTTACTGCAACTTAATCGGACAGATGAAGATTTTTTAAATTGTTGCTTTTGCATTAAAGATTTCCTGCCAATTAAGAAACTTTTAATGAGCCATGTGAACAGAAATAATCAAGTAGCACTTAATATAAGATAAAAAATAAACGAAGAAAAACATTCTTTTAGTTATTTTTGTGCAGGTACATATATATTTCGGCTCCTAACTGACAATAACTATGACTGAGTTGCCCTGGCTTTCATCAGACATGTTGCTCCAGGGATGTTTTACTCTGATGTAGCTGCATGACTCAACTGGAGGAAGTTTTGATTAAAACCACTGCTGGGTGATTGCTTATTCTCTATAAAAAGATCCATCAGTGCAGGACACACACACACACACACACACACACACACACACACACACACACACACACACACACACACATTTTCTGCTGGCTCATGGATCTCAATCCAAACAAATTTCTATGAGAAGAAATAACTATATGAATAACAATTGTGCTTATTGTTGTTTAGAAATTAAGATATAGAGGAAATAATACAAATATGTACAAGTTGTGCAGCAGATTTATAATTATATTATAGTAGCTACTCATAAAGCCTAAAACACTGATTTAAACCTGGATACAACAGATGATGTTCAGCTTTAACTGGTCTCCAGTTTAGACGCAGCCCTGATTGACGCATTCATGCACACCTACCTCCTTAAAACCGCAGCTCACTTCACTCCACTTCAGCAGAGATATGAAGACTTTTCTGGTGTCTTCCTTGGATAAAAATCCGGGTATCGAGCCGAACCCCGGTGGATTAGATCCGATCCGAGCACAGCCGAGCCGAGCCTGAGAAGTTAGCTGTGTCCGTGGCTGTGTGAAGTGCTGTGGATGTAAACACGAGTCCGTCCGCTCATCGGACATCCGACAGGGGGCTGAGACACATTACCGCTCTCCCTCCACAACAGTCAGGAACCCTCACTTGTAAATTACACAGGAACAGAACTGGGACACCGCAAGGCATGATGGACCAGTTAAAGCTGCAATACACACGGATCCGGAAACATTCTGGCTGTTTTGATGGAAATCACACAACACCGACTTCTTCATCTGAGTTTTATTCAGTAGGAAATGCAAATTTGCTCCAATATCCGAAAAGTTGAAAAATAATACTGATGTAGATTTTAAACGTGTTTAGATCTTGTCTAACATTTTAGACAACAGTGTAGAAGCTTTTACACTGCTGAAGTTTAAATGGTAAACTCATAGCCAAGCAGGGTCGGGAAGCAGGTTGACCATTCTGGAGTTCATATTCTGAAAACAAGAATTAATCTGCAATTAACAAGATCTAATTAGTTCCTGGACAGAAAATGGAAACATCCATTATTACATTTGAGCCCAAATGCAGTCAGAATTTAGAGACCAGAACTAACCTGTAACAGTCATGCTCATGCTCTTATTGAGTAGCAAAATGATAAATTATAAAGATAAATGGCCCACAGCTGTAAAGAGCCTTTCAGAGGCCCAGGACTCCAAAGTGCATCATTCATCCATTCACACACTGATGGTGATGAGCTATAGTGCAGCCACAGCTGACCTGGGGGGCACTGACAGAAGTCATTTTCACAAAACAATGTTGTCAATTTGCAGCAATGCCATGGCGGTATCAGGGAGCCTTAAGTAATTTATAAGTGGTCAGACCACCAGAGTCTTATTTACTAAATATTACACGATGGCTGCATAAAGGGAGTATGAGTCCACTGCCGCAGACTTCATTTAGCTTGGATATAACTTTCTTTTTATTGCGATCGAAGCCACGCTCATGTTTTTTAACAAGCTGCTCCTAAAGGTGACTGTCCCCTACATTCCCCATGCAGTCTCTGGTGATCTGACCTCCAGCTCTTAATGGAGAGAAGCTCTTGGAGCTCTGCATTCTCTCCAGTTTATCATCTCAGATTATTCTGTTTACAAAAGTTAAACGTATTGCCCGTGTTCATTTTCATTTTCAATACAGTCGCTGGCCGAAGCTCGGCAGTAACTCCCAATGTGATCACGACACCACCCTCTTGCGCCAAGGCGCAATCACAATTTATATAACAGACAACTACCACGAATGGCAAAAGTCGCGCATGGCCATGCTGGCATGGCGCATTTATAAGACACACCGTTGTGGTAATACTACACTGATTTGCAGGTGACAACGTACCAAGTGAAATGTGACCACTTAGTACATTACACAGGCACAGTGTGTCTTGTAAATAGGGCTGGAGTCCACAGGTCACACCTATCCCTCCACCACCACCAGCAGCAAAGGAGGGTTATCTTGTCCAGCATTCTCTGCTGGGAGCTGGGATCAATCCAACCACCTCTACCTCCTGAGCTACTGCTGCCCAAGAACACACAATGTCTATTAAATAAATAGACATTATCACGGACTGTTTTAAAGCCTCAGATTTAGGATTTACTTGCTCACTCATTTTCTGAGCTGCTTTTCCTGAATAGAGCTGCAGGGAGCTGGTGCAAAACTCCAGCAATCATCAGGTGAGAGGAGGAGGAAACCCTGGACATGTCACCAGTCCATCACAGGACTGGTAGCAACTGAACCTATACAGACATGGACGAAATTGCTGGTGCCGTTCGTTCAATGAAAGAAAAACCCACAATGGTCAATGGAATAACTTGAATCTGACAAAAGCAATCACATTAAAATTCTATGAATTTGTACCCTAAAGAAGACTGAAAATAATGTGACCAAAGAAACATGTGACCACTAATTAGCACCACGGGTGTCTACAGTTTTGTAATCAGTCAGTGGGCCTATATATATAGGACTCCAGGTAGTCACTGTGTTGTTTGTTGACTTGTGTGTACCACACTCAGCATTGACTGGAGGAAGCAAAGGAAAGAGTTGTCTCAGGAGATTAGAAGGAAAATTATAGACAAGCAAGTTAAAGGTAAAGGCTGTAAGACCATCTCCATGCAGCTAGAAGTTCCTCTGACTACAGTTGCACATATTATTCAGGAATTTAAGGATCCATGGTACTGTAGCCAACCTCCCTGGACATGGCTGCAGGAGGAAAATTGATGACAAACCAAAGAGACAGATATTCTGAATGGTAACAAAAGATCCCAGAAAAACATCTAATGAGATCCGAGGTGAACTTCAAGCTCAAGGAACATCAGTGTCAGATTGCACCATCTGTCGTAGTTTGAGACTAAGTGGACTAGACGGAGACAACCAAGGAGGACACAATTGTTGAAAACAAATGCTAAAAAAGCTAGACTGGAAAATGCCAAACTACATGTTGACAAGCCACAAATCTTCTGGGAGAATGTCCCACGGACATATGAGATGGAATTTTTTGCCAAGGGACATCAGCTCTATGTTCGAAGATGGAAAAATGAAGCATTTGAAGATATGAAAACTGTCCCTGCTGTGAAACACGGAAGAGGCTTTGTTATGTTCTGGGGATGCTTTGCTGCATTTGGCACAGGGCGTCTTGAATCTGTGCAGGGTCAGAAAGCTTGATCTCAGTTGCAGGTCATGGGTCTTGCAACAGGACAATGACCCAAAAGACACAGCTAAAAACACCCAAGAATGGCTAGAGGAAAGCATTGGATTATTCCAAAGTGGCCTTCTATGAGCCCTGACCTCAGTCCTATTGAGAATCTTTAGGAGCTGAAACATGCTCTCTGGAAAAGGCGCCCTTCAAACCTGAGACAACTGGAGCAGTTTGCTCATGAGGAGTGGGCCAAAATACCCGCTGAAAGGTGCAGAAGTCTCACTGACATTTACAGAAATCGTTTGATTGCTGTGATCGCTTCAAAAGGTTGTGAAACAAAATATTAAGTTAGGTCTTCCATCATTTTTATCCAGGCCTGTTCCATGAGTTTATTTTTAAAATAATTCTGTTGAAGCTGGGTTGAAAAGCAATGTCTGACTTTCACTGGTTCCATTTCATAGAATTTTTAATTATTGTTACTTTTGTCAGATTGAAGTTATTTCTGTAACCCCTGTGGGTTTATCTTTCATTGACCGAAGGGTATCAACAATTTTGTCCACGTCTGTATATCATTTTCAATTTTACCGAAAATGCAACAAGTTCAAACAAATTTTAAAAACATGAAGAAGCACTTTAGAGTTGTACAAGATTAAGGAGTAAATAGTAACAATAGTATTTTTCTCCACCAGAACATAAACTCTTCTTTCTGGACGATTTCCTACTGAAGATCCTGTATTTAGTATTCCAGTCAGGACTCAGGTCTTCATGTCTCTCAGCATTAATCATGACAGCAGCTTCTTGTGCTGATCTGGCAAAATCAATGACCTTCAGCTTTTCAGCTCGCTATTAATTCCACTGCTGTTAAGTGATCAAACTCAAACGTTGCATGTTAGCTTTTAACAACTTTATTAGTCCTCTGCTGGTAGTTGCCACCTCTACAGTCCACACTGTGTTAAACAGCTTTGATGATCAGTCCTAGTTATTTCCTGCAGCGCTCTGGAGCTGTGAATAAATTAAGTTTCACATACAGCAATTAACATAGGGTTGTTGACTTGATCAAGCCCTGAGTGATTGATGTTTTCCTGCAGGCTCATGACAGGATTTGGCAGATGCTTGCAGGAACCTAAAACTCCAAATGTTAAGCAAGATGCAGCCAGGCTGCTGCTGATTGTGACAATTCTCAAAGCTTAATTAATAAGAGAGTTAAAGCATCCACCAGCTAGGCGTTGCATTTTCTATAAAAGTACATTTATGTTTTTCACCAGTTTCTGTGCCTTTTGGGAGGGATTGCTCAAGTTCTAGATATTTTTGACACTTTGGTTGTTGCATTAGCTTCTTATCTGATCATTTGGTCTGGTGGAATTATATTAATTTAAAAAATTCAAACAATGTACCACTCAAGTTTGAAACAATCAAGATTTCATCTTAAACAAGAGAGTAAATTTGATTTAAAACGTGTTAATTTAGAATCCACATATCCAGCTGCAGAAATGTTCAATATCATTTGAAAATCTTCAAAGATAAAAAAAAAACAGAACTCATTAGTTTCATCTACAGCAATAAAATGGAGATTAGACTTGGCTATAAATTCTAATACTCACTTCAGGGGAGGGAATCTGTAAAAATACCGTTAGAATGAGCAAAAACGTCAATATTTAAATGATCCAATACAAAATATTACACAGAGTTCATTACACAGGGCACAACATGAGATTTAAGGGGTTTTTCTCACTCAGAAACCTGCAGACATTGTACACAAAACACCCCAGACACCCATCTCCACGCTCTCTGGCTCTGCACTCACGTTCATAACTTCTGGTAACAAATAACATTACTGTGGTCCCTGCTCGGCTACCTCATCCCACTCACACCATCTAATCAATAAAGACATGCATGTAATGATTCATAAACAACTTCCCGTGGAGCCAAGAAAATAATCTTCATGAATTGGAAATCATGAACATAAATCAATGTTTAACATGGAAAAGCCCTCTAACAAAACATGTCTCCCAGGAAGAATCTTCCACATTCACTTAGATGCTGAAATGGATATTGGTGCCCCTATAGGGTGGCCAGGGTGGGTGGGTGGAAGCATGGCCACCCCACCTTACGCCTCCTAATTTTCATCCGAAAAGTATTTTATTTGGTATCATTCTGCCTTTTTAGGACCCCACAGGCTCCCCTCAGTTATCTCTGTAAGTAACCAGTGTTCCCAGTAACACCATCTACTCATTTCTGTGACACCCATGGGGTGAATCTTCATTCCAGACCTTCTCACGGGTGAAGAAGGTTGCCGTGCTCTCAGAAAATGACGACATTCTGGAGTTTAAATTTCACATAAGCTTGAGGGATCATGTCAGCAGAGAGTAATTTGACCTGAGTGGTGACATGTCCAACAATGGCCTCACTGTAAAGTCAAATCTGTCCTCCCTCTTGCCTTCTCTGCACTGCTGGAGATCTGTGAATGAGTCCTTTCTCTGCATCGTAAGCATGTTCAGCCATTATGTGACGGCTTCAATGCGTCCCCCTCCTGGAGCAAGCAAACCCGCACTCATGTTCCTCCACACCTGCCACCGCAGGCTATTTCAGTATTTAGACATATGATATTATTTCTGTCTATAAATAAGCGTTTAAGGCTTTCTCTTGTAGGCTGAAGGAAAAGTACGGACTTGACTTCTAAGGATTGTTGGGTTAAGATGAACTTTTTATTATGAAATAAGGTGAACCTTGTCTCAGAATGACACGAGAGAGAAACAAATGAGCTATTGACAAAAGGATTTGGCTCAAACTTAAATCCTTTCCTTTTTCTGCCAAAACCAGAGCTTTCAAATCACGGCCTTCATAAATAGGCCACATAAAGGCTGATACAGCAATTATTACCAAGAATGAAAGTTCAGGGTTTTAAATTAACCTACAACTAAAACTTGTACCATCATAAATGAGATTGAAATAAGAATAAAGAAGAGAATAAGCTATTCTTTCTTGTTTATGAACATCTGGGATCATGTTGATGCAGCACCACTGCCCTCTGCAGGATTTATCTGAGCTAACTTGCATTTTATTTACCTTGCAGTTTTTTTTTATTCAGATAATTTATGTTTACATTCTGGTTTTTCCCAACTTCCCAGTTGAGATCAACTTCATTAGCTGATGTGCATCTCTGGGGGAGCTGTTAAAAGTCTGAATGAGGACAGGGAGGTTGAGTTTCAAAGATCACTCATAGTACTCATATTTTATGTGACTTTTCCTCTAATCTCTCTGTCTCTCTCTCTCTGAACTTGTTATTTAAAGTCAGTTTCCTTTGACTTGGCCTTTCAAACCACATTGTATAAGGGGTGTGTCGATTGGCGTCTCGCCTCCTGACTCCTCCCCTCGTCCACTTTACCGTAGTACAGTTTGACCTGCCAGGACCCACAAGGTTAACGCCGCTTCAGAGTCTCAACGTCACCCGGCAGGAAAAATTAACCAGGAGCCAAAGAAATGGGGCAAATTTTTAGTCACAAAAATAAAATATATAAGCTACAACAATATAATATCAATCTGTGTTCACATGTAAATATTTTAGTCAACATGCATACAATGCTGCAGTACTCACAAAGATACCAAGAAAACATGGACTTAAGTTCAGCTTTTTCCTTTAAAACAGTTTATTTCAGAAAACACAATTAAATAGGCATTTTACATTAATTTATGAGCCCCTTCATGTTCGTTTCAAATATTAAAAACAATTATTTTTCTATCATTCATGAGAATATTTAGTACAAGAAAGAAAAACCACATACTACAAATACTTAGTTTAAATCATTTAAAAAAATACTCCAATATTTCAAAACATCTACAGTCATTTGTCAGTAAGGCCCTAAGGAACTGCAACAGTGTGCTGAATGTATTTAGATGGCTTAAAAGGTCCAAAAAGGCAAGTATTTAGTGCAAACATGTGTGATTTTTTGTTATGAAATAAAACGATGCCGCTAGTTTCATGCAGTTAAAATGACACGTATGTCCTCAAAGTCACACCACAGCAACAATCAAAAGGGTAAACAAACAAAAAAGTGTACTCGTTTAGAAAAATGCTTCATCATGTTTTTGTGTCCTTAAACATTAAGAAAGTGTCACTGATGAAGATGATTAATAACAGGAAACGGAAGATAGTGTTACTTTTCCTTCACAGCCTCCAAAGCCCGTTTTGTGTTTTTGTTGATGAAATCAGATTTTTTTAAGCGTTTCTGTTGAGAAAAAAGAACATTTCTGTTAACCATCGTGTTGAAAAATGTGACAAGGAAAAAAACGAGACTAAAACAAATGCTTGCAGGAGTTCTTCTTCTGTTTTACTGATGTGCGCATCGGAAGCTTTAAGCAGCGTGCACGCACGCACGCGCACACACACACATGCCGGTCGAACACCGGCCGACACGGAGTGGATCTGCCAGTCGAATCAGCCTTAGCAGTGGGGATTCACATCCCCACTGACCAGTGATCTGACGAGTGTCTTGGAGTCTGTGGTGCCACAATGTTAGAAAGACTTTTACACTCAGACTGGACTATGTAGATGTTCCCTGATCTTTCATTATCTTTTTTATAACACTGCTCACTTTGAACTCTGTTAATCTTTGTTTAATTTGTATCTTGAAATTTGGCATGAAGTTTGGTTTAAATAGATTCTGGTTCATTCTTGACACCCTCGCCTGTTTGGAGAACCCTCTAGAATGGTGCCGTTTATATGTTCTATAAACCTTATTGTCTTTTTACACATTTTTTGTAAATTTTGTTTGCATTTTTTTTATCTTCGTTGTTTGCATTGCATTCATAATTAAGTTTACTTGCATAAATGCAATTCTTTTTTTTTTGGTGAAAACACTAAACTGGGTCTGATGGGTGAGTGGGGTGGGGGGTGGGGTGGGGGAGTAAGGGTTGGAGCAACTGACCTGGCACCATGTATGGCAGCCTCACCTCTAGTGTCAGTTTGTCAGTATGTGAGTGTGTGTGTGTGTGTGTGTGTGTGTGTGTGTGTGTGTGTGTGTGTGTGTGTGTGTGAGTGAGTGAGTGAGTGAGTGAGTGAGTGAGTGAGTGAGTGATTGAGTGAGTGAGTGAGTGAGTGACTGCAGTGTAAAGAGCTTTGGAATCCTCTGACTCAGAAAGGCGTTATACAAATGCTGATCATCATTCATCACTATTATAATAAAAACAAGTTGGCTCATCTTCATGCAGTTTTAACCGTAAACCACTCCAGCCTCATAAACATTGCTCGGCATCTCAGAAACATCATTTTGTGGATGGTGGAGGAAACATGGAGAAATACGGTGCTATGAAACATTACCTTAGAATTATGGGATGAATATGCTGCCTTCAACCAACAGTGCATTTTTTCCCTATTTGAATGCATTCGTTGTTGTTTTCATGGCCAGATTTTGTTTTGCTCTCTCACTGTTTACACTCAAAAAGTTCCTTTAGCAATCAAATGTGTTTTATTTGCTCTCAATTTGCCTCTTCTGCTCTTGAAACTCATACAAATCTCCTTCCCTGGAGTTGCAGCTCCTTCCCTCAGTGCTCAGACATTTTCTCTGCACCTGTCCTTGCTGATTTTTCACATGCTCTTGGATTGAAGCAAGACAATCCAGCTAAACGTCCCTCAGCCAATAGGAAGCCACATATCAAGGCCATCTTTTAAAATAACCAAGGTCCACCACTAACTATCCCATGCACATTAAAAAAGTAGAGACCAAAATGAAAACTAACACAGAAAGCACATGAAATTGTGTATTAAATACTTATTTGCCCGTTTGACTTATGCCAAATCCTTGTCTAAGTCAAAGTCGTTTTTATTGTCATTTCTACCACATGTGCAGGACATACAGAGAAACGAAATTGAGTTTCAGTGCACACAATTCAGAGATCAGACATACATGGGTAAGACACATGACAAGAATTGGTGACTGCAGTCATTCGCAACATGAGTCGCGCTACCTTAATAGATAGATGAAAAGGGTGTTACATGAGGATAATTGGGGGTAAGGTAAAAAAAAGGCATAGCAGAGTTAGACCTGTCACGTGCCCGTCCCATTTACCGGTTCCTTTAAAACCTAGTTCCGTTAGAACTTATGAGACGGTGCATCCATCAGGGTTCGATGGGGATGTCGGTGAGTATTATAGTATCAGATCCTGGTTTGGGCGTCCTAAGTTAGAATCATATCTTTTATTTTAAAGGTGAAATAATATGTAAGACCTTTCCTTCTGTAGTAGCTCACTTCTTTTTAAGCAATCCCGTTATCTTAAGGTTTCTTTATATTAATCTGTCACAAACCGTAAAGTAAGTCCTGATAATTCCAGAACCCGTAATTAATGTGCTTACCTCTGTGCAATTAATGATCAGAGCCCCCACTCGTGAAGCTTTAGAGAAAACCTGAAAGAATCAGGATTGTGTTTCTTTTTCAAAAAAAAAAATTTATTACAAAATCAAAATACAAAAAATGGGTAAAGTGAAAAACAACTGCTATCCCCCACGGAGGAATTAGTTCAAAATGATTAAATAAGAGTTAGTTTACACTAGCTCTTGTCTTCTCAGAATCTCCCCAAGAACTCTCTCTAGTCTCTCTCTCTGTCATCCCCCATCCAGGTTTGGACGGGGGATGACCCCTCCCCATCTGCTCTCCTCTCTGTCCTCTGCCCCAACTGCTGTCGAATCTCTCAATCTCCATCTGCTGTTCAGAGCTGTTCTTATATACCCTTCCTGGACCAGCTTAAGGTCATGGGGTCATTTACCAGATACACACTTTGTAGCTCAACACAAAACATTTGGTGTCATTTTCCTTCTTAACACAGGTCATTGCATCATCTTTTGCAGCATTCTTCAGTTTCTCTCCAATGTTCCCGAGAGGGCTTCTGGATCTGATGGGCTTGTCTTCATTCTGTTCTCCTCCAATCCCATCTTTCCAAGCCAGGGGTGGGGCAAAGAGGTGGGGTCAGTCTCCTGACCCTTCGCCCAGTTCTGTCCTCTTGTCCCTGTGACCCTTGTGTGACCCTTGTTTCTGACCACAGTTTTTTTGACCTGCAGCCCAGCTCCTGTCGACTGGCTGATTTTGCTCGCACAAGCCAGTCCAGTGTGTTTCAGCTTGCCACTGTCTTTGGCATGTGGGGACTCGCAACAGACCCAGCGGGGAGTAACTCTATTATACAAAAAAAACCCTCCTCAACATAGAAGCACAAACAGCACAGATACAAAACATCAGAGTCCGATGGGGAGGCGGGGTTGGGCGGGATCCTGAAGCCTCCAATGGGAGCTGCCGGTACGGCGCATCAACCAGCTGCAGACCAACAGGTGGGAGGGAGAGATAAGGAACAGAGAGCACATTGAGTTTCCCGCAGGTCGCTGACCTCAGCAGAAGTCACAATCTGAAGGCAGGGGGGGAAGGTCGGGACACAGCATCTGTCAGCATTCCTCCTTTCGTGGGGGTGTGTTGAGCAGCCTTGAGAGGCTGCCTTGGCGTCAGATAAGGATAAACATGACTTTGTTTGGGGCAGGCAGAGATAATTTTCCTCTCTGCCTTGGAGTCTATTAAGTGGTCATTCATGCCCACCAGTGAAGCCAATTTTACGTTCTAAACATCCCCACATCGTCCGGCGACCCTCTCCGAGATGACATCCATCTTGCGTACTAATACAGGCAACGCCGCGAGGACATTGTCCAGCTTACGGTTCACCTCGAGTAACGTCCCAGTCTGTGAGGTCACCGCACGAGCGGCACATTCCATGGGCAAGGGTTGCACTCCAATCGCTCCAGTCTTCCCAAATTTCCAGAAAACCAGATATCCTACCACTCTAATCAGAAGAAATCCAGTGATCATCAGGCCAAATATACACAAATCTTCCACGTCCTTGATGGACAACTGAGAAAGACACACGATTCGCCAGACCTCCCAAGAATCGAGTGCATATCCCGCTGCGAATGTCCCCTCGGGACAGGTGGGAGCCCCCTTCTCCGTTCTCATCGTAGAAAAAATGTTATCAATCGCGTTGAATGACCAGTTAATTAAGTCCATTTTTCCAAAAAGAGTAGTGGTTTCAGGAGAAATGCAGAGAAGTGCTCTGTAGGCTGACAGGACAAGAGCCTTGGGGAAGCAGATAAGGGAGCTGAGAAAAAAGCGTCTGTACTCTCTGAAGGCTGGAGAAGGACGAATTGTTACTTTTTATCAAATGCCAGTGAAATTCTCCCATATCCAGAAGCATCTCAGCTCATCAAAACATCTCAGGATCAAGTGCTCAGTTTTTATACACGTGCATCCCCACAGTCTTCCTTTGGGTGCACTCGTTTTGTTAAGAGTCACCAGCATGAGTTTAGGATTTTCTTCCACTACCAATGGTGGGCACGCCAACTCAGTATACTAATCAAAAAAGGGCAGTTAAAAGAAGACCGTCTCAAGTAGGGATGTCCCTATCAGGTTTTTTTGCCCCCGAGTCTGAGTCATTTGATTTTGAGAATTTGCCAATACCGAGTCCCAATCCGATATATATATTTTTAATGTATCAAAAGTAAGAAAAGGAAGAAACTGTTCCAGAATTCAATTCAATTCAATTCAATTTCATTTATATACAGCGCCAAATCACGCATCTCAAGGCACTTCACATAATAAACATTCCAATTCAGGTCAGTTCATTAAGTCAATCAGAAAAAATGTTTCCTATATAAGGAACCCAGCACATTGCATCAAGTCACTGACTAGTGTCAGTGACTTTACAGCAATCCTCATACTAAGCAAGCATAAAGCGACAGTGGAGAGGAAAACTCCCTTTTAACAGGAAGAAACCTCCAGAGAATCCTGGCTCAGTATAAGCAGCCACTCACCACGACTCACTGGGGATCGAGAAGACAGAGCGCACACACACACACACACAAGCACGCACGCACGCACACACACGCACACACACACGCACACAAATGTTCCTTATTTTTTATTTAATTACCTTTTAATTTTAATTTTTTACAACAGATCACTTCTGTGAGGTAGCTTGAACAATCAAGTAAAAATAACATAAATTCTTCACTTTTGGACTTTATTGCAAATATAAAAAGTCTAATATAAAAACAGATAGCACTTCAACTTAAAATACCTGGCTGGGGTCTATTTTGCCTCGGCCCCCAAAATGCTTAGATATGTCCCTGGGCGTGGGATGGCATTTTGAAGATGATCTGAATTTTATCAACTATATAAATACTACATGATGATAAATTACTGCTTTATACAGGTACAAACGTGTAGTGGGATAAATCTACCTACATTTTATTTTTTTAAGACCTTTGTTTTGTCTTCTTGGTTTTTATTTTCCCATCTTCCTGTCCCGTCTGTCTCTGATCTTCCTGCATCTCCCAGTCCTCCAGAAAACCTCCTGCCTGCCTCCTTCTTTTTCACCTCACAAGTAACTTTTTAACTAGCAGATCAAATTGATCTATTGACCGCAAAAAAAGCAGAGTGTGCGCCATGCTGCCCGGCTGAGCCAGTGACGAGCGCTGCAGCGCGAGCGCGTCCGCACGTCATGCTCAAATACAGACAGAATTTACCAGAGAGAAAATGAACGGACACGAATGACTGTGTGTTGATTGTGTATTTTTGGTGACGCCACTTAGAAACATAGAAAATGTTACTGTGGCCGTGTGCAGAACACAGCTGGAGTTCATGAATAATCAGCGGTCTGCCTGCTGCTCTGCTCAAAAGAATCCCCGCTACCCTGAGTCCATATAAATAATATAATATAGGTAGAAACTGGATCTTTTTTGGGCTCCTTCTGGGTGTGTAAGTTAAGGGCATCAGGGGAGCCTGACAACCTTTAAGGAGAACCAAGTTCCTCTCCTGTAATTTGAACCCAGTATCCGAGTCCGGATCGGGAAGTAAAGCCCGAGTCCCGATCAGTCTGAAACCACGTGATCGGGGCCAATTTCCAATCATGTGATCGGATCGGGACATCCCTGGTCTCAAGCTCATTGGTCAGAATCATATCTGGCTTCTCAACATCCCATCTGCCTCAAGAAAAGTAGAACAAGATCGAAGCATGAAAATATCAATTAATGCCCTCAAATTGACTAAATGTGCTCTTGATTAAAGGCAGGACATTAATCCTATACAAATACCGTTTTATGTGTGGGAAAACTCACAGCCTTGAAGTCCTTACGGAGCTCATTGTGATTCCACATTATGTGTAGCAGGATACTTGCTTTCTTGATCTCTTCATAGCTAAGAGATTGAAAAATGAAATTAGCTTTAAAACACTTACCCTCCAACAGAAAAGCCTCATAGCGGAGAACTTTAAAAGCAGTGATGGGGTTAGAGCCACCAACCTGTTTTCTAATTTGCTTGTGTATATTATTTTTGGCAGGATATCCTCTTCGAGGACAGCTCTGCTGTTCTCCGTACTATTCCAGCACAGATTAATGAGAATCTGACACAAAGGCACCACCTCTTTTCTTTCTGCCAATAAATTGTTTATTTCTGGCAACATCTTGTTCACTGGAGGTAAAACAAAACAAATATCTGATTTATACAAACTAAAATATCCCGAATAGTACTGAAAATGTTAGAAGTGGGATTACCAATGGTAGACTGGAATACTCTGTGTTGAGAGAGGTTTCTGGTCAGAGAAATGGCTGCCTTCATCAAGTTCTCATCTTTCTTTTGTAAAAACGTCTCGATGACTTTGAGTGTATCTTTCTCCCTTTTTAAAGTGGCAGCCACAATTTTTGGCATCTGTCAAGCCACATGAAAACGATCAACGTGTTTATTTCACTTGGATTTACAGGATTAAAACATGGTAGCAGCCAGGTTTTCTGATTGCAAACAACCCTAACCCTAACTTGCTTTAAAATGTGATTTACACACAGATTCACATAAACACTGAATGGTAATTAAACATGCAAAAAAAAAAAAGCTTTTAGCTGTAGCTGCTTCATGTCATTTATATTATATAAAGACCACTGATCCCATCATAAAGTCCATTCTTACACACATAAACAACTTAAACTTTACAAAGAGCACAGCTCTGTCCCTTCTCACCTCTCCGCTTCCAGCGGTGGCATTGTGCAATGCCCCAATGGCAGCTAGCTGCGTTGTGACATTCTGGCTGCAGACCAGCAGCGACAGGTACAACCGCATGGTGATGGAACTCCACAGATACTCCGAACCTTGGGGGGATGTTTGCTCCTTCAGCACAGGTGACTCTTCCTCTGGATCCTGGTGGGACAGTCAAGAGCCTCAAAGTTCATGTTGATGGGTTCAGATTTAAATCAACTAAGCAAAATAAAATCTTTGCATTCTCGGAACTGGCAACAGTCCAGCAGGAACTCACAAATCAGTAATGAAACATTTCACTTCTACTTTGATTTCTAATGTAATGAAACAGGAAGTTTGCCTTCATTTTCACCTGGAGCTGTTTTAGACATAAGTCAATGGAATTTTTCTCGAGCATTCAAAAAAAGAGTGTTGATAAAGTAATTATGCCGTAACATGAATTACCTTTGTGACCTTTGCAGTGCGACGTGGAAAACAGCCAACACGCGTCCGCTCGGAAGCCACGTTTTTCTGAGATTCACTGGAACATCGTGTAATCTTCTTTGGAAGCTCTGGTTCAAACTCATATGTCAGGTTGTGCAGAATGTGCACAGAGATTCCTGTTGACTTTATAAAAAGTAAAAGAGGTATCTAAAAACAATCCTATCAAACTGATGAAACAATCTACAAAGGATCCACATTTTTAAATATATCCACCCATCCACCGCTTATTCGGAGTCTAGTCGCGGGAGCAGAAGCCTGAAGGTTGGTTTATGCTTGACGCGTCTGCGAGGTCCGCGTGGAAAAGTTGCGTCATTTTGCGTCATTTTAACAACCACGCCCCTCCACCGCGCCTCCGCACGGCCCAAAATTTCTGCAACGCGTACCTAGGAAATTTTCTAACCACGCGGACGGTCGGACGCGGAAAAACATGGCAGACCGGCAAGAACTAGTATGGCAGAGGTTCGTAAATACAGACATTTGTATGATTCAGCTCTCAGAGATCACCGTGATCAACATGTTGTTAATAATTCTTGGATAGAAATAGCTTGCACTGTCGGAAAACACGAGGACGCTGTTATGCTGGAATGCCATGTTGTAAACAACAGTTTTTACTTCTACTATGGTGTAGTGTTGGATGCATGCCGTAGAGCTCCATGCTGCCCCCTACAGTATGGGAGAATAGTGGCTCACTGCTGAGACAGGCCGCATGAACCATAAACGCTGCGAGTTGTGAAGCGCGTTCCATCCGCGAGCCGCATCACCAAGCGGAAAGTGAATGCGTCAAACATAAACCAAGCTTAAGCCGAGAGGCCCAGACTTCCCTCTCCTCAGCTACTTGGGCCAGCTCCTCCAGGGGAATCCCAAGGCGTTCCCATTCAGCCGAGAGACATAGTCCCTCCAGCGTGTCCTGGGTCTTCCCTTGGGTCTCCTCCCAGTTGGACGTGCCTGGAAAACCTCAGGATCTATTTGTTGGAGTAAACAATCCAACCCCTTAAAGCTGAGTGTCAAGCAGGTAAATGTTGGATCCCCTTGTCAAAGTCTCTGGTATGACTCAATCGGGATTTGAACCCCGATCTCCCAGTCCCAGGGCGGACATTCTGTTCCCGCTGGCTTTGCCTTACCTTGTCATCAGCATTTTTGTCGTCCACAGTTCTTCTGATATAGTAAACAAGAGAATCAATGAGATTCTCACAGTCTCTTAGAACTTTCCTGGTGTTGTCTCCTGCAGAGCTCAGATTTCTACACAAACACACACACACACACGAGAAAATCAATAGCTAATAATCAGATCCATGTAAATAAAGCAAACATTAAAAAAAAAACAATTACATGATCCACAATCAGCCCAGTACAGGTAAAATATTTTCATAATAAATCTGACAAGGTTCAAAATAACTTCTAAATTTGTCACTTCCATTTCCAACAGTGTTTGTGTAAAGAAGTGTTCACTCCTGGATTCTCATATCCCTGTCAAACAAATTATAAAAACTTTGTCTATTTCCTCTAGTTGCAACACCTACTGTATGCAGTTTAATGCATTGCAGAAAGCTTCGGTGTCAGCATTAAGCTCATGTTTTGGATTATCATCTTTGAAAATGCCAGAGGTCGGCACCAGGACTGTTTTGGTGAGGATTGATGCAGTTTCTTCAGGGAACATCTCTTTTAAGTCCTCATAAGCAGATAGATTCCACAAAAGACCTAAAAGTAAAACGGATGAGAAAAAAAAATATTAATTTTTACTTCATCAAGACAGTAGGATTACTTTTTTAGTTTCATCTTGAATAGGGCTGAGCAATAAATCGAAAATTTATCATTATCGAAATTTCTGACTCTTATCGAGATAATTTTTCCCATGTCAACAAATTTGACAGTAAACAAATGAAAAGGTGTGTAGGTTGGCAATGTTCATGTCCCTTTAAGAAGCTGTACCACCTTGTCACATAAAAACGTGACTCAACGTAATACGTGTGACAGCCCCATCTAGTGGACAACTTTTGTTTCTGCGCTTACCTGTAGTTATCGTCCATTTATTGTTATCGAGGTGAAATCCTCAATATATCGTGATATTGACTTTAGGCCATATTGCCCAGCCCTAATCTTAAATAAATAAATCATCATGATGGCAGCTCTTTTGAAGCCAGTTTATGGAATTAACAAATACTTTAAAGGGGCAGTGACATCTAGTGGCATAAGCTGCAAATTGAACAAACTAAAATTCTTTTACCTGACTTATTTTCTTCATGCAAGAAAAAGGAAAATGTCTCAACATGATTTGAGGCCATCAAACATAATTTAGGTCACATCAAAACAAAATAGCACCCTTACAGTTTTTTTTTTTTGTTGACACTGAAGAAAGTAAACAAAGCATACAAGGTCAGGTAGGGTGAAAGCAATAGTGATTGTCACCCAAAATGTAACTACAGAACAAAAATAAAATATTTAACACAAAAGTAAAAGGGAAAAAAACTGACCTGTGAGATGGCGTATTGTCTCCTTAGAACAGCTGCTTTTCAGTGCACTCAAAATGGCTTCAATGCCATTGCACTCATTCACTTTCCACTTATTGTCATTATGCCGGTGGACGGCGTTGCGCAGGGCTCCGGCGGCGGCACACTGCACGTTCTCACTTTCATTACCAAGAAGTGGCAAAAGCTTTTCAATGCCGCCCAGCCTCTGAATCTGAAAGCAAGAGAGGGTAATTCCCAGACAGATTCACAAAGTGGCAAATACTCCCCCCACTAAAATTACAAGTTCATTACACAGAAATGTTAGCCTGGCAAGCCATCCTATATATGTATAATCTGTCATAAGCCACTGAAACCACCCAGTTATGGGGCAGACCCCACGGTTGTCTTTCATTCTGTCTCGGCATCAATTGGACAGTGCCAGGACCAGATGGAGAAACAAACAACGTGACGAACTCACCGCTACGAACGTCAGTCAACGGAGCGGTTTGCCATCAGTGTTGTGCCTGAACAAGTTCATTGGACATTTGTGAACTTGTTCATATTTTTGTGAATGTGAGCTGAACTTGCTCGTATTATGTCTGACGAATATTAAAGTGAGCATGCTCATTCTGTGGTTTGCAAATAGGCCAATGAAAGGCACGGTCTCACAGTTTGAGAGCTACAGAACTCCATGGAGCTAAAGCTAGAGTAGAACCAGCAAATGCAGTCAACATAAGCAGTAGCAGTCAATGCAGTGTCCACTCTTAAAGGTCTATGCTGTTAACAGATCTAAAGGTGCTTTACATTTACCTCAGAAGAAAATTTAACTACATGTAACATTGATTTTAGATGCACCTAGAGCTGGGCAGTAAATCAAATCATTATCTAAATTTCTGATAAATTTCTCAGGGTAATACACATGACAACCCCATCTAGTGGACAACGTTTGTTTCTGCGCATACCAGTAGTTATCGTCCATTTATCTTTATTGTTATCAAGGTGAAATCCTCAATATATCGTGATACTGATTTTAGGTTGCATCACCCAGCCCTAGATGCACCCTTACAAGTTTATCTTGTAAAATAAAGACGTTTCCACCCCGGCTACAGCTTTTGTGTGCAACTGCCATATTGAACTTTGAAATTGGGAGTAAAAAACCTTCACTGACTTCAGGGGTGTTCTAATCGATTTTTCCTTCTCAGGAGATGGAATTTCTGAGTATCGAAAAGAAATGGAACACACCATTAATACGGGGAAGACATAAAGTCTGGAAATAATAGTCACAGAGTTGCACCAATGAATTTATTTATTTTTTTTTTGCTGTTTTTTGTTAATTTATTTGGGGCCGATTGTTGCACTCTATAAGCCAATTTTTCTATTTCTTTGGGTAAACAACTCGGAAAATGCATTCACAACATTTGAAAAGTGACTTACAAGATAATTCAGGTTTAAATGTTTTGCACTTTGAGGTCCTACCTCAGTCTGGTTCTTTTCCTCAGATTGTTTAATAATTGCTTTAAAAAAAATTAAAAAGCCATTCAAACAAGTTATTTCTCATTTTTTGAGAATATACTGTAGCGTGTGGACAAAACAGGTGGCAACAATTGGAAAATGCCAGTATTGTTAGAGTAATAGCTCACCACTACAAATTGGGCAAAAAAGAACTATGAACTAGTACAAATTTAAAATGAATTTTCCCAACGTTGACCACCATTCACCATCAAAGAAGAAGCAAATATATTCTTAATCGAAATAAATGACTGAAGTATCTCCATCTGCTCATGTCTTATAGAAAAGCTCAAGTCTAAATAGTCCAAAGTTGATTCCTGTCCCAAAGTCATTCCTGAGTTGACACCATCTTTGTAGTTTTTCTCTGTCGCTGCTCTCAATGGCAGCACTGGTACTCTTGTATTTTGTGGTAGTGTATCTTTTTTTAATGTGTATTTTATGATGACTATTTTTTTATTATTTGTATGTTGTATTGTCTTTAATTGTGTGTTTGTTTTGCTGGACTTTGCATCTGTATCAAAGTTTCTATCTATCTACCTATCTACCTATCCATCCATCCATCCATCCATCCAGGCTAACAAGAGTGATGTGATTGGCAAGACATAAAACTGATCATTTGTAGGCCTGCTGAGGCTACAATGGAGAGTGGCTAGACCAAACTGTAGAGCTAAATCCTTTGCTACTGCTACAGTTGGTTTAGATTTCTAGGCTAAAGAAATGCACCAGCAGGGCGATTTGTCAGTTTTCATTCCACAGTTTTAACCTCTACTAGGTTTCAAAAGCAATAAACTGATCAAACTTACCGTACTTTTGGCACATTGGTCACGGAAGCATTCATGTTGTATGTGGGAAGCTCCAGCAATCAGCTTTTCCTCGTTCTGATTCAGGAGAAAGTGTACAGCCTTCTCCAGCGTCATCTTTGGAGGATTATTTCCCAAATTCCTACACAGGAGGTTATAATTTCATCATATTTTTCATGACGTGAACCAAAAACAGTGCAAATATGGCATTATCAGAAAACAATATAGGGTAAACACAGATATTATTGTTTAGTGAGTCTGTTTCTGTATGTGTGGAGTGCTGCCTTCATTGACCTTTTTACCCTTGTGCTGTTTACAGACAGCTGTGAGGATTTTTGGTTCAGGGTCTTCTGGCTGTCCCCTTTGCCCCGAGTTTCACTGCCATGTGCAATGGTGTTTGTTGTGCGACGCACAGTAGAATTAGTGCTGAACACATCCATCAAGGATTTTTGAGGTGCTGCCATGCTCCTGGATGATTTCAATTCATAATTGGTTAAAGACGAGCTATGGAGGGCTGATTTATTAGTCTGTGAAGAAAAAGGTAATGAGAAGTTTCATCAGCTTATCTATAAAACACCATGATGGAATGGCATTTATTTTCAATATTACTTTTAAAAACTTCCATCTTTTCAGGAAACTTGCAGTCAAAGACAAATATAAATCAACAGATATGTCATTGATTAAAATGTGTTTCCAATTTTACTTATTAAAAGATAAACACAAAGATTTTTGCTCAGTTCCTTAACTTTCAAAAAATTATTTTGGTATTTTTGGCTAAAATACGAGTCCATCCATTGATCTTTTCCCACTTATCTGGGGTCGGGTTGCAGGCCTAAGCACAAAGGCCCAGACTTCCCTCTTCTCAGCCACTTGGGAAGACCCAGGACACGCTGGACGTACTAAGTCTCTCGGCTGGTCAGGGCACGTCTTAGGATTCCCCCGAAGGAGCTGGCCCAAGTGGCTGGGGAGGGGCAAGTCTGGGCCTCCCTGCTTAGGCTGCAGCCCCCACGACTCGACACCAGATAAGCAGCCGAAAATAGATGGAATATTTAGTTATGAGGGTGGACTAATCTGTATATAACTAGGATTGTTTTTTTCTTTTAAATCACACTGTAGCAGAAATCCACATTTTATATCCTCAGGTTAACTTTGTGAGGATTTACACAGAAAAGAACAACAACATTTTCACTCAAAGGTTTCTTTCACACTTAGGAGAAAAAAGGGGGAATTGGAAACTGACCTACAATCATATAAATTCCAACGGACCATTTTCGAACATCTGGCTAACTCCGACATCTTTTCCCAGGAATGTAAATTTTACCAAGTGACTTGTTTGTTTCCCTCCTTAAGCAATCGAAAAGACAGACATTATCAGGACTTGGTCTGGTCCATGTCAACCTGACAAGAGCTGGCTCTCCCCAAGGTTTGAATGCTCGTAAAAACTTCTCAAGGGTCATTCTGGAAGATTCCAGGATCTCGTTTTTATCAAAACCCTGGTATTTTTCTGTTTATCTCTAACCAAAGAAGGTGTTTAGGTTGTTTACCCTTAAAATAGAAATCAAGGTGCTCTAATTTAAAATCTTATCAGCCACAGACCTAAACTGTTTGTCTTGTGTTTTATTTCATGTTAAACTTCTGCCATTGTGTTTCACCAGTTAAAAACCCATGCTAAAAGTGATACAGTCAAGCTTAAGACCTGAAGTTAATTCTTTCCCGTTTAAAGTAATACTTTGATGCTAAAGTAATACTTTATACGAATAACTGTTAAATTGTGAGCATGAATTTCCCATGATTGTAAGACTGGGTTATGTGAAAGAGCCACAGTACCATCAGGTGGTTAAGGAGTGAAATACATGTGGGAGTGACCCAGAAGGTTGCAAAGCCACAGTGCAAACCTCGTGTCGGCAGAAGAGAAAAGAAAAAAGGACGCCTTAAGCACATCCCTGCAGGCTGTTCTCCATCTGGCCCAGCAGAACCCGGCGCTTTACAGTAATTAGCTCTCAAAAGTTACGGTAAAAACTTAGAACCAACTCCGTTGTTTTGTTTTGACTTCCTACGTGAAACCGGAAGTCTGCGTGTTCGTCGAGTTTTCATATTAAGAGTAAGAGCAATTTGGAACAGTTTGATGATTCAGCTCTGTTTGGAATAATTTAGACCCGTGATCTGAATTCCACGTTTCGAGGCCGCTGAAGTGAAGGAACCTAAAGTACAGCCACTCTCGGGGAACGAGATTCTCCTGAACTACAGACACTGTTGACCTAAGCTGAGGTGCCAAAAAGTCCTACGGCCCCTGAAGGCCGCATTTAAGCTTCTGGACCGGCTGAACCAGCCCACAGGACACCTCTTGGCAACAGAAAAAGGTCTGTGAAGCATCTCAGCTGGCTGACTTTTGTGCTAAGCCCGATTATTGAATTCAGATTAGTCCATTTCTTTATGGCGTGTTTTTATTTCGATCCCAGATTCACATTAGCCTTCAAGATCCCCTTTCTTCTTCTGCCATAACGAGCCCCCGAACACACACACACACACACACTTCACTTTGTCCCCCTTTAGAAATTATTCCCCATTTTTCTATAATCCTGGTGTCACAGAATTTCCACTTTTACTACGGATCAGTTTTCCTATCACTGCCATAAAGCTTTGAGTTAACAATTTTCTCAATCCCATGCATGAAACTAGAAGCTGTGTTTGGTCCTTTTGTCAATGTAACTGATGTTGTAATAAACTCACAAAACATAAATCACGCCTGATTATTTCTAGCGATCTCGAGAATAGCCGACGCATTCTGACAAGAACTCAGCTTTCAGACTAATTTGTGGTGTTAAAATTTAGACTGATGACCTTGAACAAAATCCAAATCTCCCCTCGAGTGTTCCCAGTCACACTAACAAAGGCTGGGTGGTGCCCCAATTTATTAATATAAGATCATAAACAAGCTAAATCTACGCCACATTTGAAATATAGATATAAATCTATATTTATCGCTACAACACCAAATACAAATTTGTGTCTTAGGAGGTTCAAAATGAGATTAGAGCTTGTAACCATAAAGCAAGAGGCATCAATTTGTTTAAATTCAAATGATAGAAAGCAATATGTAAAGTGCACCTTGTCAGATCCAAACAGGTTCAACTGTAGCCTAAATGAAGTTTTAGCCGTAGAGAATGGCAGAGCAAGATCCTTTATGTGACAAATATAAAACTGAAATTCTGAATGTGTGTGTTGGTGCTTGAAACATTTTTATAAGCTACCTTTGAGCGAGACAAAGACCCATCAGCGGCATCAACAGAGTTTGTTGTAAATGTGATTGAATTGACTCCACCTGAAAAAAAAATCCAATAATTATTTTTTAGAAAAACGTACATGAGCAATTTTTTTCTGTCATGCTCAACTGAGACAGAACAGTTGGAGCTCACAGCACCATAACTTGCATGAAAACAAGCCAATAACAAGAGAAAAAGGGAAACATGGTGACACTAAAACGTTTACACAGATGTTTTGATAATATTCATGAAATTAATGGCAATCTTAGTCATTCTAGGTCTGATATGTTATTGTAACTAAAACGTTGTCTATTGCCATATCCACCATAATTATAAAAGTAGGAAGAAAACAATTTATAACCAGGTTAGTCATTCTCGTGATCTGGCAGTACTCATTTAGCTTTAGCTTAGCATTAAACAGTGTAAGTGAATGGTAACAACTAGTCTTGTGTGTGGAAATGTCCTTAAAATGACTGAATAGTGATCCTAATTCTGCTTGGAAACCTAAATAATCACACTGACAGCTAGAGATGCACCGATCAGGTTTTTTGCTGCCGATCACCGATACCGATATCAAATAATGCTGATCACCGATACCGATACCAATCACATGGATTGGCCAGAAATTTTCTACAACATTATAATGAGTGCTACAAACTACATAATCTGGGAATAAAGGAAATGTAACCTAATCTAAAATGGTCTGTATTAGGGTTGTCACGGTGTGAAAATTTAAACTCACGGTTATTGTGACCAAAATTACCACGGTTTTCGGTATTATCTCGATATTTTTTTTAAACGTGCTACTTTTTCACACAATTAAATAAACCCTGTATGTCAGGATATATTGTCCTCAGTTTGTGCCTAAATTTGGCCTAAAATGTGTTATTTTGTAATTATGTTGTTTATTTGTTTACATTTTTTCCCTTTAGTCTTTAAAATACCAATATTTGCCCATAACTTCTTATTTTATGTCTGTTTGATGTCATCATTTTAACAATATTAGATCAGATGATACTCAGTACTCAAGTAGCCTTCTAATCAGATACTTTTTTACCGTTACTTGAGTAATAAACCCTATATCAGGAAAATATTGTCCTCGGTTTGTGTCCTTCCAGCGAGCTTTGCAGATGTGGGAAAATGTCATCAGGCAGTAATCATTGTTAAATTCATAATTATTCTCGGAGAGAGACCAACTCTTATCTGCCCCTGGGAGCCCCGTAATGCATAGCGTCATTTCAAAATGGGGGTGTCCGCGACACGGTTTATATAAAAGGTAGCGACGCTGCGGCTGCTTTATATAGCCACTCGTTGCATTCTCGCTCAACCCAAATCCTCGGATCACGCATTTTAGCTAAAACGTTAACGCTAGCTTGCCTTGCGTTGACTGTAGAGTTGTGGGTGATGGTCACGCAGATGTGTCATGAGATTTGAAGCGTTGCTGCCTTTCACAGACACTTTTTCTGCACGTGCTGCAAACAGGATAGCCGTCTTCTATAAACTGTCCCTCGACATTCTTCAAATATCCAAAAGATGCCCGTACTTTCGACTTTGTCTTCTTTGAGGGATAAAAAATGTCCTCCTGAGCACTGCCGTCTCCTCCTTTGGCCATTATTTCAGCTTTAGCTTCAAGAAAGTTTTGGCTGTAAACAACAAAGCGTGCATGTGCCGCCGGCAACTTCAGCAGATGATACGGTGGCTGGTAAGGGTCACCACGCCTACACCGCAGCCACGGTAAACCCACCGAGATAATATAGTTTTTTAAAAAACAAGACGGTTATTATTGTCAACTTTTTTTTACCGGGGTTTACCGCTACACCGGTTACCGTGACAACCCTACCTGATCGGTCTGCTTTGATCTATTTTGAAAACTCCGATCAAAACCGATAGGGGAGCTATCGGCCGATTGGGATCAAATGCCGATCCATCGGTGCATCCCTACTGACAGCAAGTGAAAATAAAAAGTAACACAAAGGAATCACAGGCACCATTTTTGACTTGGGATTACTTTGAGAAAAAGCACAGCTGTAAGGTGCAATGACATGATGCAGCAGCCCAAAGACACCTGTTCTACAACCCCTCAAGGTACTTCACAACTCAATCAGTCATTCACCCATGCACACACACATTCACACGCTGGTGGGGATGAGCTACGATGTCGCCATAGCTGCCCTGAGGCACAGTGGCAGAGGCGAGGCTGCAGAGCACTTGTGTCACTGGCCCCTCTGACCACCACCAGCAGGCAAGGCGGGTTAACTGTCTTGCCCAAGAACACAACAGCAGCAGTGTTTGGTAGGAACCGGGGTCACACCTGCAACCTTCCGATTACTGGACAACCCGCTCTACCTCCTGAGCTACTGTGTAAACCTCAACAGTTCACCTGATTGTCCGTCCATAATCAAATGTCTCGATGCTTTCTGAGGACGCTATACTGGTGATGTTCTCGACTTTTGCCTCAGACAGATTGATGAGATGCTGTGGAGGCTGAATCAGTGCTATGCTGACACACTGGAGACTGGAACCACAAGCGCTAATTCAGCCAAACGTTTGAACATTCCTCCAAATGAAGTTATCAGAGATCAACAAGACTCTGAAAGAAGGGTTTCCACTTTCCAGATCTGGAAGCACCTGACATAGAACTCATGTGCACAGGTCTGTGACTGACGCGCTCCGAGCTCCTCTTCAGCACACTGTCAACAGTGAGATGCGGAGAATATATGAGAACGTGAGAAAATGCTCAGATGGGAATGTTTTCTTGACTAATTATGTTACCTCCACGATGTAGTCTGTGCTTAAAGTTTAAACCATCTGCTCATCTGCATGAGTCATTATCAACAAACATACTCTTGGGCAAATAAATCAATAAACAAACTGCTCTTGTAATAATGACCTTTGAAAGCCTCAGTCTATCATCGAATAATTCATCCAATCGCCCAACCCAAGACTGTACACTTTGGGGTCCATCACTTAGAAAAGTGCTAAAGACATGAGCAGTCTATATCAGGGACACACAATGTAGGCAATTATATCCATATTGAGCTAATATTAACAAATGATGTCTGTGAGTTTTACAGAGGTGTGGAATAGAGTCACATGACTTGGACTCAAGTCATTATTTTAATGACTTCTGACTTGACTTGATAAAATCTATAAAGACTTACAACTTGACTCGAACTTGAACGCCAACGACTTGCAACTTGAATCGACTTGCATCTGTTGACTTGATGATAACTTAAGCATATTTGATATTTTAGCACAAAAGTGGCACGACATGGACAAAAATCATAAATCGTTCTTTGTTCTGGGTTTGATTTATTGCTAAATGCAGCAGCACTTTGTTGACAATCAGTTTCATTTGCATTTTCTGCTTGTTTGAGCAAATAAATTATTTAAGAAGCTTTAATACTGGAATTTATTTATTATCGACTTGATTATTACTTGAAAATTCTAAGTTAAGGACTTGGACTTGACTTGGACTTCCACATAATTGACAATGGACTCCACTTGGACTTGGTTGTCTTTGACTTGACTCAAGACTTGACTGGAAAGACTTGTGACTTGCAAAGCAGTGACTTGGTCACACCTCTAGTTTTATACTGGAACCTGACTAGCCTGTGATGTTTTGAATTCTATGGATTTTATCTGAATGCTTTCTATATTTCTGCTTTAACCACAGGTCATCCAGACTGTGCCATCTGGGACCAAACAATAGAAATCGGTCTCTGCTGTAATTGGACCCTCTTACATTGTTATAAATGTTCATTGTGCACATTAAAATGAAAGCAAGTGTCTTATAAAGTTAAAAGCACGCTGTCCTTTGATTACCTGCATTTCCAGCCTATAACAGAGCTGTGGAGGTGGCTTTTTGCTGCCCTCAGACAATGGTGAAACTGTGGGAACCTGTTGGATCAGGGAACTACTAACTATGCATTCCATTCGCAGTCATCGCCATTACTCTAAATAACCTAACTGAGGATCTGTGGTAAACTGATTCTGACATTAGGGGCTGATTATAGGGTGGCTGCCAACTTGGCACCTTCGTAATTAAGTTCAAAAGACAGGAAAGCTGTTTGGGTTGGGTTCCCCCGCCATTACTGTATTATTCACAAATAAAAAAGCTCACTGATAAAAACGAGTAAACAACTGACTTTAACTCTGTTTCCTGCAGTTTCACCGAGAAGGTTCTGAAAGTCAACGTTACCGTCTGCTGAGCTGCTCTTTTGCCGCTGTCTCATTGTGAGCCGAACCTGCTGCGAAACTCTGAAGCCCGGGTCGGTTAGCCTGCTTCTGGACCAAGACCGCGGTTCGGTCGGTAGAGCCAAACTGGTGTAAAGTAGACGCGTCTTCTCCATGTTGGACCAGAGCAAACTGGTAAAGAAATGACGTCGTTTGCCTCAATAAACTCCGTCCCTGAAATAAATGCCAACTCTGCTTTGTTGTCCAGCACTAAGGAGGAGGGGCCACCGACGGTGATGTGGGCGGGGCTAAAACGTTACCTGTTGACAGAAATCTCCGGGCCGGGGGCCATTTGTAGCCCGGCTTGGAGCGACATTAGAGCAGCCTCACTAGCATTTCTAGAATAGCTGTTGATATAGATCAACATATTTTCATTTCTATGTCTATTTTGGACCCATTCTGATGAGGCTATACAAATAAAAGAGTCACCATAAAATGTTTTTTACATTTTCAGAAACAACAACCATTTTATGTTTCTAGCTAATCAAAATTGTGGACTAAAATAAATAATAGCCTATAGGAATCAAACATTTATGACCAAAGCAGACATTTAGCTTGTAAAAAGTTCTTGTGGCCACACGTGGATCTGTAATGTTTGTTGAAATAGATTTACATACTAAGAAGAAGAAAATATAATTTCTATAGTGCCTCAAGATAAAAATCATGAGGCGCTTCACAAAAACAAAAAATGTAAAAATATTTTAAAAAATTTATAAAATGGTTAAAAAATATATTTAAAATGAGCAAAAAATAGACAATTGTGATTAAAAAATTTTAAGAAAGAGAGAATGAATAGGAAAGAGAGAAATCAGTGGATCCTGAGGAAGGTGGAAGAAGAAGAAGAAGAAGAAGAAGAAGAAGAAGAAGAAGAAGAAGAAGAAGAAGAAGAAGAAGAAGAAGAACAGGAGGAGAAACCACTGAGGAATGAGGATAAACTGACCTTAAAAAACTTGGACGGAGAAACCGCGCCGCAACGCGGCCTGGCGGGAATGCGGAAGTGGCGCTCAAGTCACCAAACAAAGGAAAAGAAGCTAGAAGATCACGCCGATGTTTACTAGATAAACCACACTTTAAGAGAAGTCTTATTCTCACCTGGATTCCTGCTCGTTTACCTCTTTTCCTCCGACGTTTTCCCAGGACCGGATAAAGATCGCTGGAGGCGCCCTGGTTGGAATCGATAGCTCAGAGAGGTAGGTCGGGGTAAGACTGTTTAAAGACTTAAAAACAAATAAAAAAAAGTTTAAAATGAACCCTAAAATGGACAGGAAGCCAGTGCAGTGATGATAAAACAGGAGTGATGTGTTCACTCCTTCCTGTACCAGTTAAAAGTTGAGCAGCAGCAATTTGCACACGCTGAAGTCGAGACAGTGAGGACTGACTCATACCAAAATACAAAGAGTTACAGTAATCCAGACGAGTTGTAATAAAAGCATGGATTACAGTTTTAAAATCCTCTTTAGTCAAAATATGCCTTACCTTTGCCAACTGTCTCAAATGGAAGAAGCTGCATTTGACAACTGCACTGATCTGACTGTCCAACCTAAAATCACTGTCCATTTTAAAACCCAAGTTGGTCACTGTTGGCTTTCTGTGCAGAGCCAGGGGGCCTAAGTCCATAGGAGTGGGCCTGCTGGAGGTACCAGTACCAAAGACAATTATCTCTGTCTTTTTCTCATTAAAATTTAAAAAGTTAAAAGCCATCCAAGATTTTACCTCATCCAAACAAACCACAAGAGATTTTATACTGCAGCCATCTTTTTGCTTTAGCGGGAGATACATTTGTGTATCGTCTGCATAGCAATGGAAGGCAATTTTGTACTTTCTAAAAATGGATCCTAGAGGTAGCAGATACAAACTAAAAAGTAGAGGACCAAGTATTGAGCCCTGAGGAACCCCACATGACAATGGAGCAGAGGATGAGTGGAAACTGTTTAAGCTGACACAGAAACTTCTCTGTGCAAGATATGATCTGAACCACTCCAGGGCAGTGCCACAAATCCCGACGCATTGCTCCAAGTGTGACATTAAAATATTATGGTGCAGTCAAATCTAAGAGAACTAAAATCACAGAATCTCCCGAATCTGTTGCAAGGAGGATGTCGTTAAAAACTCTCAACAGAGTTGTTACATTAAAGGTCAATTTTACTCATGTTTATAATACATTTGCAGTGGTCTCTAGTATGAATGAATGTGTTGAATGAATGAAAAAGCTCTGGTGCGCCTGTCTGAGGACGTAGAAGTCAGTCGCAGGAGAAAGTAACTTCAGAAGATAGGATTTGGAGTGTTACTTCCTGATATTTGGACATCTTTCCCCTGATTGGCTAACAGCAACTCAACTCTACCACTGACTGCTTTGTAACGTTGATGTTTTATCTGCACAAATAACACAAGCCTGGAGGAGTTCTGCTGCGTTGTAGAGTTGCTAACAGTTAGCTTCTACTAGCTAAGTTGTTCTTTGCTGTTTCCTGGACGTCAAATCAACAACATCCTTCACCATCGCCAAGATGGGTGAGTCCATGAATGTTAAGTGACAGGGTGACGTAGATCTGTCAGGCTTTTCAAATCCTAGAGTTTCACCATTAATTATTTTATCACAAGCTAATGAAGGAAATAGGGGTAAAGGACGTCCAGCCTGCACGTTAAACTCAGAGCGACTGATTATTTTAAAAAGAAACGGTTTCTCAGTGAACCTGCTCTTAAAACTTTTTCAGTTTCATCAGCGCTGACTAGTTCAGGAGACCTTAAATATTAAATATTTTGACTAAATCAGGCAATTTTGACATTTTGCTTCATGAAGCTCAAGATTTACTCTAAAGAAATGCCCGTTCAACAGCTGTTACTGTTTGATGTTTCTCCTTTAATGCAATCGTTTTTTCATAAAAACAATCGTTCCAGTCCAAAGTCACTCTGACACAGAACCTCACTTTGCACATCATGTCAAACTGTAATGAAAAATGTTCTTGATAGGATCAGAAAACCAGCTGGAAATCAACTCCAAACATTCAAATAGGATGTTAGCAAGTGGAGCACAAGTTTTTCAGGCAGCAGCTGTATAACATCTGGAGTAGTGGATTCAAGTTCAAATTGTAGTTTTTTTTACCCGATGAACAAATTCCACTTTTTGTTTAGTTTGTAGAAGATTCATCTGATTTGAAGTTCACCTTATTTTTTGCATTTTATGACATTTCTGACATTTACATAAAGATTTTTTTCCATCACCTGAACACAAATTTAGATATTTGGCACATAACATTTGAAACTCATCAACCTGTAATAAACATTTATGCACATACAGACACAGAAGCCAGCCAACCGAGGCTAAGATGATAGATAACTGATGAATGAAATACTGGAGGAGCAGAGCAGAGCACCAAAAGGGAGGATAAAGGAAACCAGGCTTGAAGGTGACAAAACTAACCTCCTGTGTGATCAATGACAGAATCGTTTTCCCGCTTTTAAAGAAAAGGAATCAAACATTATACAATTACTTTGATCTTTATGATTATATTTCAATCACAACAAAAAATTAATTAATGCATCTGCACAATTCAGCCTGGCTGGCACAAAAATAAAAACCTGTTAGCAAAATGAGCAACAATTTAACACAATTTTCCTAAAACATGTCAACTTTAACATTAACCATCAACTCTGTCTTCATTCTTTGCAGATGTTTTAATCAGAGTCCAGTTAACGCGACATCTTATTTTGAAGCGCATCTCGAGTTTTAGAGGGATTTTCAGAACCCTTCACATTAAAAGCCTGTGGCATCATCAAATGTGGTGAAAACACCCAATGCTGTACACGCTTCCTCATTTTCTGCTGCTTGTACATCTTTTAAAAATATAGAAAATATTAAGAGAAATTTACAAGTACATTCGGTTTAAAAACACATTTTACAACACTTCCTAACTTTATTTACAAATCTCTCTGTGGTTTACAACAAATTGTCATTCAAGCTGTCAAAGCAAGGGGAAAGGCTTTTATTTTGAAGGGGTAGTTGCGCGAGCAAGAGGAAAACAGCTTCTTTTTGAGAATTTTCTTTTCAAATCTATTTAGTTTTCCAATTAGTTTACCTTTATTTAGAAGAGATGGCCCACGTTAAAACTGGATTTCCTTTTCTGAAACTCCACGACTCTCAGTTCAGCTATCAAGGCTACAATATAATCATAAAATACAGTAATTGGTGGATTCATTTGTAATTTTTCAGTATAAACCACATTTAACAAGGAAACGGTAGCTGATCTTCAGTTAGAACAGTGAGGTCTGATACAAATTGCAGTATTCAGAAGTAAAATCAGAAAATCACTAATGTTTTTATTCAAAATAAACTGTTTTGTTTGTCCTCATAGTTTAATTCTTTGGAAGTCTGCAGAATAACAGCAGACATGATTTAATACTTAAGAGAAAGAGCTGATAAATAAAAAGGTTGAACATTTCTCAGATCGGTCACGTGGTGAAATTTAAACAGTAGTGCTGCATCAGAAGTCACAAAACAGGACAATCATATCCAGTTTACTGAGGTAGAAAGTACTTTAAACTTTTATTTTGGAGCTTGTTGTTAATTTCATTTAAAACGACTATTAAAAACGCAGTGATTGAACTTACTTGTTCATGTAGCTAAAATTTTGTTTTATTTTGTAAAAAAAAAAACCTGACAAAAGAAATTTTTCACACATTTAGATGTCTTCTGTTTAATAAATATTCAATATATTTATGGTTACCATCATGAGGAGACATTCTGCACACTTGTGCTCTCTGGGGACCAGGTATCGCTTTACTGGCAACACTGCCAAAAGGTAAAGATGACCATTGGTGAGATAAAACAGCCCAAATAGAACATTCATACAAAGTTTCTGTAAGGCATTCCTTCACTGTGGGTTATTCACGTCAGCAGAGTCTGCAGCTTCTTCCTCCAAAACTGCATCCTGGTATTTCCCAGAAGAAAAAAAAATATATAATACAAATTCCATGAATTAGCCGTGTCCAGAGGTGTGGATTCCCCATTCAAGTCTTTACCACAATTCTGTAAAAGCTTTGGTCTTTAGTCCTGCAGCTATGATTAGAAATTATAAATACAAGTGAGCCGTGGCTCGCAGAAGTCATTGGATTCATGCAAGAGACTGTACAGACTTTTGGTAAGCTGTCCAAAGCGGACAGGAAGAGGCGGTGCAGTCCTATCTGCAGGAGGAGCCCAGCACGCTGCCCGTCGTCGGCGTGGTGGCGGTCATGCTGTAATGGGGGTAGTTGTCATTTGGAGGCGGGCTTGGGAGGATGGAGTTCCCGTTGGTGGGGGAGCAGCTGAGCTGGAGCCTCCGCAGGTATTCAGCGTGAACAGGTTTGTGGCTCTGCAGAACTTTGATGGCTTCTTCCACAGTGAACCACTCCCGCTTACGACCTGCAGGTGGAGCCACAGATCACGGATGAGCAACAGCAACACAGACTGCCTCCTACATTTTACTTGCTCCAGCCTTTATAATAAAAATACGATCCCCCCAATAAGACACAGCATGCTACAAATGCTGTCAGACACCATTTTTAAGAAGTTAAAGCACAGGTAGAAGTTTCCCTCCAGTCAGCGAATCTTAACAAAATAAGAGCTTGGTTCTTGGCATGCTCTACTGACAGTTGTAATAAACCACAGCAGGGATCAGTGGCCCAGATTTACAGTTAACTGTTGTCACTGCATGCCCATATGCTCTCTGAGCAGCCTCCGCATAAATAAAGATGATACAGTATATCTTACTCAGCAGGGTAAGTACAGATGTGCACACACACACACACACACACACACACACACACACACACAGCGGCTGTAAATAATCATGAGCGCTGTACCTATGTTGACCGAGTCCTCCCAGGCCTCGAGTGTTTCTGTCACAGTCAACACGTACACGTACGTCCGGTGCTTCCGATCCTGGTTTTGCTTTAGGGAACAGAAAAACATTTGCATGAAAAATGTAGCTAAATCTGCTGATTCATTGATGCATTCCGTCTTTTTTTTTATTCACAGAAGGTGCAAATGTTATGTTTTTAACTAAATATGGTTCATAAGTGTGTGTAAAAGCTCACCTCAAAAACACCTAGTAGGCGTCCCAGCTTGCCCTTTACACCGGCCTGCAGAGAAAGAAAGGAAAATTCTGTTTTTCACTAAATCAACAGAACAAACAGATCGGAGCTCTTTGTGCTTCGTGTAGCCTCTCAACTAAATCTGATTGATTACAGCGGCTGAGCAACGACGCTCAGATTTGATTTTACTGCTTCAGAACAATAGGAATTGGTTAAAATGAACGTACTTGAAAACAAATTTGGACTCTGACCTGAACTCCAACTCTGTTGGCATTCAGAAGCCGTAACATTTAAAAAAGGGACTTTACATATTGCAGATTACATAATAAAAGCCAGATTAATCCTTTGAACAGCCTCGAAAGAACCTCGCTGACTCCTCAAGGGTAATTATGTCTCTTTCGTAACAGTTATTTTACTAATTCAGATTCACTTCACTGGGCTCAAATGACATCTGTCTGCTCTTGGCCCGTGAGTGCGAGACCGTCCGGAGATGTGCCCGCCCGGCGACAGAGGCTGCAGTGGGTCTGCAAGTACGCAGGAATCCAGAGAAAAGCTTAGATTAGATCGCTTACGCGGGCGGTTCTCAAACAGCAGGAGCCCTGAAATGCCACGAGACCCTCCAGCTAACGCCACTGTAGCACCCTTAAAAAATGCAACACAATCCCAACCTTGATGTGCATTACACCGGTTTGTTTTCAGCTTGGTTTCGCTCCTTTTATGTAAAGCACTCCGCATACGTTTTTTAAAAAGAAAGGTTACAAGGTTACTGACCTCCTCGAAGACCTCTCGCACTGCGGCACCACATGGCTCCTCCTCCGGCTCCATTCCTCCTCCGGGAACGATCCACTGATCCGGGTGCCGACTGCTGCTGACCAGCAGAACCTGCCAAACACAAACATGACATTCAGACATCCCAGATCACTCGTTTTGACAGCTTTATTAACCCTTTGATGCATAATGGTCACTACAGTGGAGAGGTACTCGAAATTGTTATTTCTTTATTTTTGCTATTAAGCACAGCTGTTGAAGTCTTTATTGCACGTGAGCCCCTCCATTTGGATTTCAGTAAGTCAAGCCACCATATTTCATGTTCAGAATGCACGCTGTCCACTGAGATGGACATGTAATAAATTATTTGTAAATTACCAAAACGTTACAAACAATATTTGTTGAAATTTGTTTCATTCACACCTAAAGATGAATGAAAAAATTGTTTAAATAATCATGGTTGAAGATCTCATAATTCATGCATCAGAGGGTTAAAAAAAATAGGGGGGGGGGGGGGGGGGGCTTCTTTTCATTATTAGTTTCAGAGAAACTTTTACCGTGTCGCCCTTTTTAAAACGAAGCGTAAACAACATGCAAACCCAGCGTGAGCTCAGCTAAAACGTGACCAGTGTGTTCCCTGCACAGATTTGAATTACACTACAGTTGCAGTGTACACTGACGCGCACAGATCGAATACGCCTGTGCATGTAGTTTCTTGACGGTATCCATATTAGCGATCAAAAACAGACATGAGAGCACCTGCTGTGTGGACATCGGCACATTTGGATGTTGCTACTCAGTCACCGTAATGTGCAAGATATGGAACAGAGCGGTGGTTGTAAACTACGAACGGATAATATAGATAAAAGCTATAAAACAAGGAAATGACAAGGACAGGTCAAGGCAGAGCCTCAGGAAGCGAGTGTGTTTTTATCTGAATGAGCCAAGGATTTATCCTATAATGTTCATACGTGTTTCTGAAGGAAATGTCTGTTGGGCAGCTTGAGCAACAGATTGTGACGTCCACCTCCACCACGCAGCTGATCAGCTGTAATCTGCTACAGAAGTCAGGCTGTCACCTAATCCAAATGGAGCTTTAGCATAGCTTTCCTTACACTCTCTAATGGGATTGTAGCCGCAGTTACAGAAGGCCCTCCGACGACAACGAGGCTCCTCTGAAAGGTTGGATCAGGGTTAAAGGCCAAAGAGATTGTGAGCAGCGTCTGTTGCAGTCATCACATGCCACACTAACCCACCTCAGGCACCTGCTCCAGAAGCAGATGTAGGTCCCCGATGAGGGCAAAGGGGGTGAAGATGACATGGATCAGGCGAGTGAAAAGGTTAACTGCAACTGCATGATGAATCCAAACCTTTTCTAATGCACACACGTGAAAAAGAACACCGGAATTCCACAGACAGCACGAGCAGCGCTAATGCAGAACATGATGTCTTTCCAGGAGAGTGAGAACTGGAAGAAATGTGCAAAGCTGAACCTTGTAACCTCTTCAGGTGAGCTCTCTAATGAGCAGCAAGGCTTAAAAGGGAAGCTTCTGTTCTTTCAAGGAAATAAAGATGACTTTTGCTTGGATCTGATGCCTCATCTGCAGCAGTGATTTTATCTGTCCGCCTTTCAAATGTCTCCTGCTACCAGGAATCTAAAAAAATTTGTTTTTGTGGACATTTATGACTGAATCAGCTTCTTTGTGTTGCTTCAAAACCAAATTATTTATTGTGTTTGCTTCTCTTCAAAGGGATTTCTGAATACTCCAGCCCTTACTGCCTGACACCCTGTGTGCTGACCTGCGGCCAGCCGGGCTTAGACTGAGATCACTGGTGTGGATGCGTTCTAAGAAGCAGCCGGTGTGGGATGTATACAAAACAAAAGTTGTTCAACATCCGGGAGCAGCGAGGACAAAATACATTTCTGCTCCATTTGCATCAAGCTGCTGGTTCAAAAGAGACCCAGCAGGACGGCGCACTCTCAGTCATGTTTGGATACACTTACATTTTTGACAAAGAAGCTGCATGCATTGTTGACTTGGTGCACTTTTATTTAAATAAAAATGGCGTGTCTGATTTTGTAGAGCTGTTAATGCAGTAAATACTTCACAGGAAGCCATCTAAAGCTGTCACAAAAACAAAATAACTCACGTCATGGTGCGAGTTATGTCAGCAGTCAGCTGATGGCTAGGATCAAAACACAAAAAGCCCACTTGGATTCAGTCAAGAGAGTGAAGAGGAGGGGGAAACCCCATAGGAAGAACTGTAGGGTTTAACGGTGACATTTCACTGGCAAATACAACACTGCATCCCAGAAAATGTAAAACAAATGTTAAAAATCTATCCGGTGGTACCAGACGTGAGCTCTAAAACCCCACACAACTATTGACTATAGGTGATGACAGTCCTCCGTCACGGCTTCAGACCAAGACAGTGAATATTCTGGAGGATGTACACCTTCTGCTACTTTCTCCTTAAGGAGGAACACCTACAGCTGTCAAGAAAAAAGAAAAAGCTGCAAATAGCTGGGCTGGCTGGGCACCGGGAGGAGAGAATGATGGGAAGTCCACACAAGCAGAGGCAAAAATCAATAGCGCTAAGAGAGAAATACAGTCCCTGAACAACACAGCAGATGAGAGCTGTAAGAGTGAACACACGAACACACACACACACACACACACACACACACACCATGAAATGTAGGAGGACAAAGAAATCACAGGGAGTTATTTCTCTGTACTTCTGATCAACGTAGTTTTAAGTGAGATGGGGAAATCCCTAAACTTTCCTTTCAGAAATGATGGACACACGATGCTCTGGGTTTACCAGAGTGTTAAATACCCTGCCTGTATGCTCATAATTAAATCTATTTAAAAAAATGACTTTTTGCAATTGTTTTTGTTGATGAAAACCCGAAAGTAAAACACACAGCACCACCTTAAAGAGGCAATGTGTCGTTTGTACAGTTAATATCCATCGAAGGATCTAAAGTATATAGGGGACGGGTCTAGCGTCTTTGGAGTTGCCACATTAGACGCCATGCGCCTGTCGATGACATCACACTAGATGATTTGCTGGACGTACAACTAACGGAAGTTACGTTACCACATTCAAAAACATTTAGGCGGTATGAAAAATGAATTTAATAACAAAACTGCTTCTCCTTTCCAGAATCTATGTGAAAGAGCAGAATCGAAAAAGAGATTCAATATATTTTGGCCGAACGGTATTGCTGTAGTATGATGACGTCATTAGCAGGCGCAGGAACCCAAGATCCAGAAGGTGCAGCACCAGAATATTACAATCGACATCACAATCTCTCGATGGAATTAACTGAAGGACCATCAAAGTCTGAGGAGTCACGCCGAGGTTGCATGCTTTCTGCTCCACAGGTCACAGCATTTAACATAATGTTTCTTAAACTAGAACAGTCACGGATATAGTGTAAAACTACCCTGAAATGTATGAACTGCCCCCTAGAGCCAGGAAACAAGTCCAAATCAAACCAAAGTTTTTGATAAACTTTTACAATCAGCAAAAATGGCCAAACCGAACAACTGCTAATGATCTCAGATGAACCAAAACAGACCAATCTACCATCATAAACTATACCATCATCATCAAGAGTCTGTATGGCGTGGCACCCCCACTTGAAACCTAGAAACACAACTTTGTTTAAAAAATAAAAAAAAACAATTAGCTCAAGATCCAGTTTTCACTTTCTACAATCCCCCTTTTACAACCTCCCTCTATAAAAGCCACACTCTGGAGAAAATGAACCCAAACAAGGAGTTTAGCTGCACTCAGGGGACAATAACCTCTGGATTTTGTCACTTCCTGCAATCCATTTTATGTCCCACAAAGCATACAGCCGCTTTAAAGCCATGAATGCATCATGCATTACTTTCCATTATTATGGGCCATCAACTATGTGCCTATAAGATTTAGTTTCTTTGTTTTCTTTTTACCATGTATAATAATTAAAGAGGCTCTGACATGTAGGATCCTTGCAATTACCTTGTCTCCTAACTCAGGTGTCCTGCTCAGCTATCAGTGCTGTTCTGTAATGTCAGCTTTCCCCTGTTGGTTTGTTCAGTTGCTGTCAAGAGTATCGTGCCCCGAGGGCTCCACTTTCTACCTTTCTTCTCCAAAACAAAACAGCCTGGCACACATACACCCCTTCAATACAACAGCTGGGTGTCTTGTGTCAGAGAAGAACTGGTGGTGTGTGTGTGTGGCTGTGTGTTTAAGGAAAGCAGGTATCACATATCAAGCTCAGTTACAATCAATGTACAGCATTGGTTCTTTTGCATCAGGCAGTATCATCCATGTAGTTGCATGAGTAGACATGCCTGTCTGAGTCTGAAATTCCTGGGGGTGGGGGGTGGTCACACACATTTAGAGAATATTGTGACAATTCTCTGAAGGCTCTTTCAGGTAAATACTTGTCAGGTAAGGGGAATAAATAAAGGGTTGTAGTTCTAAGAATTATGAGGCAATGCACATGAACAAACAACAATGGGTGGTGTTGCAATGCTGTCACTAGTTTAAGCCTAAAACTCTAACCTAATAACAGATTATCACATGTATTTGATCAGACACATGGAGTGTAAACACGTACATTTCCAGAGAGGTGTGTTAAATAGCCCAACACTAAAAAGGTCCAGGCGTGGTTTTCTAGAGAGACCTTTAACTGTAATCCCTGTAATACTTTGTTTATGCTATGCAGAGAGAATGCTAAGTTTAGACAGGCAACATGCAGGAGATGGCCCTGACCTATGGACACAAATATGGTTCACGTGATGAGTTTAAACCAGAGTATCAAAAGAAACAAAACGTGCATCAAGATGACAATAAGCACGCTACTAAAGCTTCAGATTATTTGTAAATGTATAAGAGAACAAATATTTTTCTGTTAAAGTTTCAATTATCCCTTAGAATAATTGTTGTACTAAATTATTTTAACTTGCAGTTAATTTCCCATAACTTTGATTTATTTATATGTATACTGTTTAGGTTAGTATAGTAATTTTATTTGTTAAAATAAACATTTCAAGACTTCCTAATTTTAACCAACTCTAAGTATCATAATACAATATTTATGTTTGGCATATTATTGTGTTTAAAAGCACGTTATGTAGAAACGACGTTCGGTAAAATTACATCCTATGGTAAAAAAAAATAGTTATTGCAATCACTTTAAACAACTCTGGAGCTTTTTGCCGGTGTCGTCAAATGCAATCGTCGGTGCTGCAGTATTAACTCGCAGGAGACACTCACTGATGGTAAACAGTAGTTATGTCCCTGCTTCCTTTATTTTGAAAGGTGAAAAATGACAATCCCTGCAGCCAGCTGGATAGGAACTATGTTTCAGTATCCTTCCATCCAAAATGACTGAAATAATCATTATTTTGGGGATTTTCCCACTGTGTGTATAGATATATATATATATATATATATATATATATATATATATATATATGTGTGTGTGTGTGTGTGTGTGTGTGCACTTACATACTGCACCTTTATAGAAAAATATAAAAATATGCTAGTTTTGGAATAAACCACTTGTTTTCTGTTACAAAATACACTTATTTTGTAAGGTGGGTATAATGATCAGACTTCCTGAAGACAGTTTAGCAAGCGATATTATTGTTACTCTACTCATTATCAGTGCAATAAAAAAAATTAGCGACTTTAAGTTACCACGATGGAGGTGTTATTTTATTGCAACAACACCCACTGGGATGCAGCAGTTTTAACGTCATGGATGATAACAATCGACCTTACAAAATAACGACGTCACGTTCAATAAACACATTCAGAAATACTTTATGACATTTATGTGTTTTCTTTTACTCAACACAAGACCACGTTGAACTTGGTAAGCGTACAACACAACGCCTCGCCCTCTCCGTCCGCTACTTGGAAGCTACGAATCAGCTAACGGGATGTAAGCTCAATGAGCTTTCAAAATAAAAGCATCATCGCGCTATTAAACATATTTTTGGGATAGAACGTCGACAGTGTGTTTTATTCTGAAGGTCGAGTCAATACGTTATATGTAGTTATGTGACGCATTCTTGACAGCGCTTTTTCTCGTTTCTCTACCTCAAACTAGCCTAAACTGGATAGCACACGTCGCATCACCATGTACCCACGGACTGAAACAGCGACGTCGGGAGAAAAATAAACAAAATGTGGCTAAGATTAAGAAGACGCGTTCAAATCAAAGCTGATCACGAGAAAATGTGTTTTAGTCATAACCAGAAAAAGTCCAGGCCACAAAGTCACAACACAACCGCTGCACATCAGGTCAAACACCGGGTTTGCCTGTGGAGGATGCATCTCCTTACCTCTTCTTCACGTTCGTTCTTGAAGCACAGACACGCTGCTCTTTTCTTAAAACCCTCTCCGTCGTATGTTCTGGTTTGGTTCGGTTTTAGCTTCATCATGGGTGTAATTCGCTCACCCTCCTTAATGGCAGAGCCGGAAAACTGTTATTTTTAAATGACGATCGTTAAATATCTCCAACCAGTTAACAGCAGGGCCGCCGCATCGTTGCTAATCTCTGCATCAAAGGTCCGGGATGATCAGTCATCAGCGGAAGGGGAGCAGGACAGATCCACGTCGGACCACTCAGGACTTTCCAACATCAAGAGTAGATGCTACCAGTGATGGTAAATGAGTGCGGTCCCGCAGGGAGGGAATCTGCTGTAGACCTCGCAGCTCTCCTCTCTCTTTGCTCATGGGCGCTGACTCCGTGAACGCTCAGCGCCGACTTTCCCTCTGTGAGCCCATTGGCTGAGCCTGTCTGAGTGGGCGGGGCCTCGCGTCTGCCCAAAAACAATGCTGATGAATTTATTCCAGCAGTGCAGCAGGAGCAGTTCACACGATGACCCGTGCTTAACAGATCGTGCAGTCCTTAGAAAGAAACAAACTGATACAATTATATTAAAGGACTTTTGTGTTGATGTTGATGTTGATCACCTGCAACAAATGTGCGGTTTAGTTTTTCGCTGCTCTGACGGTTTCTGAAAATGTTATGAAGCTGCTTCACAGCCTTTTTCACACTAAAAAGAGTCACAAAATTAATTGCAAAGTGATTTTTTTTCTCATCCAAATTTGTCTAATGTATTATAATAACCATATGATATTTGTTAGGGGTGTCAGAAAATATGAATTCTCTGAAATATTGCAATGTGTTATGTTATGACACTGAATCGATATTAAAAAGCAAAAATGCGGTGTGATTAGCTGTCTTTCAGCCACAATGTCAGTGTGTAGCTTAGCTTGTTAAACAAAAATATACAACATTTAAAAAACTTGATGCTATTACAATGCATGAGGGAAGCTGTTAGTATTCCTAGAAAAACACTGTACAATTCATTGAGTTTTACAGTTGTGTACAACAAAATTATGCAAGAAACAGATAATTATAAAAATGCTTTAATTTCTTGGTTTTCAAAATCAATTCAGTTTATTTATATAGGACCAAAATACAGCAGGAGTTGTCCTGAAGCACTTCACAAAGTAACCATTCCAGTACAGTTCAGTTCATTAAGCCAATCAGTAAAACGTTTCCTAAACAAGGAACCCATCTGATTGCATCAAGTCACTGACTAGTGTCAGAGTGTTTACAGCAATCCTCATACCAAGCAAGCATGTAACGACAGTGGAGAGGAAAACTCTCTTTTTAAATCAAGTATTTGGTGTTGGTTTGGATGCAATCTAATTCTAACTACAATCTAACTATCATATCATGTTTTAACCCTAGTGATCAATCAAACAATCACTTCCCTCATAAATAAACACATGCAAAAACATGTGTTGCAGCTCTGTTGTTTTGGTCCTTTTGAATAAACACCAATCCCCTTAAAGGGACAATGTGTAGTTTTTATCGTTAATCTCTGGAAATATCTGTCAAAATTTTGTTGAAAATGAATGAAATGATGCCCAGTTGTTTAAAAATATTGGCGGCTTCTTAACATATAACCATAAAAATCAGGTCTAAAATACATGTCCAAGGGTGGTTCTCAATGCCAAGGAACCTCGCCTTGATGTCTTGGTCCCACCCCAGTTGCCTAAGAGATACGTCATCAGGAACCGCCAAGGTGTGTTCCAGTGTTCATGTGTGTTCTCCGTTTGTTAGCCGTTTAGCTAGTTGAGCAAGGATACACGGGAGGTTTATGTTTATGTTTATGTATTTAGCAGACACTTTTGTCCAAAGCGACTTACAAGTGATAATCGGCATGTTGCCCTTGAGGCTAACAACAACAATAATAACAACTTGACATCAAACATGGAGAGGAGGGTACAAGGAGTGGACAGTAGAGAGGGGGGACGGGTACAGGGAGGGTGCTAGTTAAGAAGATGCTCTCTGAAGAGCAGGGTCTTCAGGAGGTGTCCTGTAGCCTAGCCTTGGTCAAAAGTTTCCCAGAATACACAGCGGTATTTTCAAAAGGATGGCGGATCAGAAGCCGGCAGCTACTTCGGGGGCAAATTTCAAGTTTAAAAGTAATTCAACTAATTTTAAATGGTTTTCTTTTATATCCAAAGAAGTTATCTATGGTTGGTTAGTTGCTTAGTAGTTGCAGCTTCAGTGGCTAGCAGGTAGTAAACAGCGGAAGCTGCGGTCACGTGATCCAAATCTGTTCCATTTAACCATTTCCCTTGACCAAGGAAGAACAGTCTCTTCGTAAGCAAGGCGCCTGGCCTCGCAAGTCATCGCCTTGCAAGGCCAGGCGCGTTGATATTGAGAAACACCCTAAGTCTCAGGGCGACGCCATATTAGATGCCATGTTTCCTTCTACGGCAGCCCTTGAGGACAAAATACATTTACTGATTTGTAACAAACAGTTACAAAACTTTGACCATTCATAAACGTTGTTTTACACATTTAGCTCTTTACTCGTTGCCACTGATGAAAGGGAGTCTGATGTGCTTGTCATTTTGCTGAAGTTTGCACTCCTCAGGACTTTTTGACCCAAATGGGCATCTGTTGGGTCTTATTTCAACACAAAAACACTGCTTGCTTGCAACAATTTAAGTATCTACTGCCCCCTATCGCCAGAAAAAATACACACTGTCACTTTAAAGAATCAAATCTATATTAAGTGACATCTTTGCCTTAGCATTATGTAAGGGTCATCTCAAAGAAATGCACCACATTCTGTCAACAGGTGAGGCTTCAGAAACTACATGTGCACCCTAACTGAACTGGTAAAACTCAAACACAATAATCCAATTACAGTTCAAGTGTGTGTGTTTATGATACACTGTTCACTTCTGTGTGCTAAAAACCCTGGAAGTCTCCAGAACTTTAAAGACAAACATCACTGAATGAGGCTGAACAAAGTGGCTTCAAACTGAGACAATCCACGTCTTTATTTAGGCAGTTAAGTGAATCCCTGTTGATCCATAGTCCATAGTTACGTTGAGACTTGAGGTCTCATGACTCACTAAACTTCTCTCAGACTCTCCTGACAGAGATTTCCACATCTGCTGAAAATCATTGAGCATGGTTTGCAGAACTCACTGATGTGTTGACTCATGTCACGGGACTAACGCTCAACCTAGCATGTTGTTTTTAGATCCTGGATAAGCTGTGGAGATAATCACTGCATGGATGAAAAAAAAGATGTCATCACACTGATTTGAATGGAAATCAAACAGCTGCATTGTCTTATTTTGGCTCACTGTTTGTTAGTTAGACACTGACGTGGTGACTAAACCAGGACGACAGCTCATGTTTTCATCTGATGTGAGCGGACAAATTTAGGTATTTATGCGTGGAACAAAACAAGAACGATGTAAATAAATTAACCTACTGAACTCAATTTTGATTGCAAATATGAAAACAGATGCTCTAATCCCAATAGCTCCGGTCACTTGAGAGGGAAATGAAGCTGTCATCGTGCACTTAAAGTGGCAATCATCAGCCTTGCGTTGCAAAGGAGAGTAAATCAGAGATCTTCTTTTAGCTGAGGCATGAAGGGACAGGAGGACTCCGGTTTCGTCAGGCTGTCCGTGAGACAGATGGAGGGACGAAGGAGCCAGGACTGAAGCTCTGCCTGTCGTTGTCTTCTCGTTATCACCGGCATCAAATAACATCTGCTTTCTGCCGGCAGAAAGAACTCAACTGTCACACAGAGTATAAACATCAAAACTCCTGCTGCACATTTAAAACAATGTAAGCAGATGCTGAAAGTCTGGTGCGTTGAGTCTAATCCCCATGATCCACTCAGAGGCTGCAGCCAACTGTGATTATAAAATCCTGATCTGATTAGCTTAAGTCTCTTCTTTTGACCTCAGTGCAAAGCTCTCAGATATCAGCCACATGTGCGAATCTCTGCTTCCCAGTCAGGAAACATCAGTCGGTGCTTTTTTTTACACAAAAGATTCAAAATAAGGATTTGAAAATCCTACATGTATCCATAATTTCACATTTAAAAACAAAAACGAAGAAGTTCTTGAATCCCAAGGATGAGATGAATGTTCTCATGGGATGAAACTTATCCCGTGATGTCATGAGCTGCCAACCAGCGCTGAGGCTGCAGAGACGGCTGTGAGCTGCTATCAGCTGTTGAGCTTTTGTCACCTCTTCAAATGACTCTGAGATGTCCACAAAGCTTTTCCCAGAATGATGCAAGATCATCTTATGCTAACTTCAGCTTGAGTTTTTAGGTCATGTTTATATTGACATCCCATGCAGGCTCCAGATGAGCAGGAGGAAAAGTGTGGCCAATCCAAAACTTCCTAAAATATGGTTTCAGCTGGATTATAAATGTTCTCTGTTTGACATAGCACCTTCAATTCAAATCAAATCTTAATCAGTGCACTGAGTTCAGTTTTTCCGTCAATTTTATTTACATGTTCCAAGGTCTAGACACACAAAGTGGGGTGATGGTTCATTCTCAGCTCCAAAGCTGTGGAAAAATCTACTACTTGACCTGCGTTTAAATCTGGAATAAAGACACTCCTCTTTCTCAGGCTTTTGAATACCCTGAAGTATTGTAATCCCTGAAATATCGTAATCTTGTGCTCTTATTGTTATCATTTTAACTTTATTGTTTTTAACAGTTTTTTTCTTAAACATTTTACTTGTTCTTAACTCCATTTAAAATAATAAGCGCTTTGGTCAGCCCCTAGGAAGTTTAAATAAACGTCTTATGAATAAACATTGATTGACTGATTCATTCATTCATTATGTCAATTAGTTAAAAGTTCACCTATGGGTGTCTAGCGTTCATTTCTATAAGTCTTAGGTTGTATGTGTATGTGTGAGCATGAGCGAGAGAGTGTGATGTCTGAAGTCTGTTGTATTTCTGTCTGAGGTCTGTGGGCGACGGTGGCACAGGAGTTAAGTGCTCGCCCCGTAATCGGAAGGTTGCAGGTTAGAGCCCCGCTCAGTCTGTTGCTGTCGTTGTGTCCTTGGGCAAGACACTTAACCCACGTTGCCTGCTGGTGGTGGTCGGAGGGACCGGTGGCGCCTGTGCTCGGCAGCCTCACCTCTGTCAGTGCGCCCCAGGGCAGCTGTGGCTACATCGTAGCTCATCACCATCAGTGTGTGAGTGTGTGTGTGAATAGGTGAATGACTGATTGTGTTGTAAAGGGCCTTGGGGGGTTCCAGGACTCTAGAAGACTCTGCTATTGTTTTTATGATGTTTTTATTGGTTTGAGGTATTTGCCCTGATTTTACTCATGTTGTACAGTGCTTTGTGATTTATAACTGTGAAAGGCGCTATATAAATAAACTTTACTTACTTACT